TCTTGAACGTGAAATTGAGAAAACATAACCCAAAAGATTCATATGAATTTTATTAACAAACTTTTTTCACTGTTATTCGTTCAAGCCCGTTCAAAATTTTCCAAACCTCAGCCATTTTAAACCCGTTCTTAGCATTATGGTACTCCTCAAAAAGCTATATCGATCTCAGCCAGCAAGCTCATCGCAAACAAACCACTATGAACCACGAGCTCACCGATTGGTTCTTATGCAATCAAATGACGTTAAGATTGACTTTTTCCACACGCTTACTAAGAACATTGAGGTCCAAAACGGAGATAACAAAGTCAATGAACATGACTGGTAGTGTTGTGTAGAATGGAAACTTGATCCATGTTGAATCTCCAACTATGCCTTTTATTTACCTCAACTCTGCTTTCTTCTTTTCTTAGGATGTCTAATATTGATAGTTATGAACAATCATGCTCAAACGTGTCTAAATCAAAGAACAGAGAGATTCAAAACTGAAATCTTGACAGGTAAAATCTAAGAAGATATGAATAATGTTCCTCTTTTATATTCTGTGACTGGAAGGGAGATTGATCCAAAGTTATGATGTCGTTAACGTTGACTTTTTCTTCCAAAAATTGTGAATGAATGGTTCATCTTCCATCTGTCACTCATTGTCAAATTAACATCAAAGCTAAGTGAATCAGAAAATTCAGAGAGAATTTTATGTTTTTTTGTGAGTTTTTTTATTTTACGTTTACGAAAATCATAAGCATCTTCGAATCAAGATTCAAGAATCGAATCTATGAAAAAGATGGAATAGTCTCGCACTCACATGTAGCATGTATGCAACACTTATAAAACCTGCGCAGAGTTGATACCACATCATCTTTGTTGATTGCATCACATGCATTACTTCTTTACCCTCTGCTGAGCCTACATAGAAAGTACGTGGAACCTCATTTAAACACATGGCTGAGAAAATTTGGCATGAGTTATTAGTCTGTCTTCATCCCTTCTTGTTTTTACTGGTGCCAATCACTTTTTGTTTTAGGTGAACAACAAGGTAAATATCTTTCTCAGAGTAACAACCAAGTAATTAGGTTTAAGAGATCAGTCAAATTAATGCGGCACGAGAAAAATAATAATCACTGTCTAATTATCAGATCAAAGATAAACATCACAAATATAATAAGCATGTCTGATAAAATTACCATTTTTTTGTAAAGATCATAGAATCTCTAGGTTTTCACTTGTTTGATATCCCACACCATGAACCCTAAAAAAAGGATTTAAGATCACAAATATGTTGGAAAAGGGTTTATAAGAGAAAGGTAGAAAACAATACTAAGAACACATAACTATCAAACCAAAGAGTAAAAACACATAAAGAAAGCAATCAAAATTATACAAAGCAAACACAAACCACCAAGCAAAAAAAAAAAAACGAATGCTCACTAATAATGACACCTTTTTATTGGTAAATTTCTCCTTGACTCACCCGATTTTTACTTGATTTGCTAAATCTAATATCCCACTATGCAGCCTGAAAAAAGGTTTTAGATTAGAGAATACGTTTAAAGCTGAGTTTATGCGAATAAACAATACAAATAATACATAACTATAATATAAAAAGAGCAAACACACATATAACAAAGCAACCAAGAATGATCATACAAAAATAAAGAGCATACAACCGTGAAAGAAAAATAATGGATGATATATATATAAAAAATTTATAGCATTCGCTTGATCGAGATTAGGGTTTTTATTAACTAAATTAGGTTTGATTAAAATATCAAAAGAAAATAAGTTTAGCCGTAAAATCTATAAAGTTATGTACATGTGTTATTATGTTTTTTTAACAGATGTATTATTGCTTAAAAAAAATTATTAATGATAGTTTTTAAAAAAAAATATTAAAGATAACAATTTAAAAAAAAAATCATTAAAGATAATAATGTCAATTAGTATAAGGGGTAAAAGTTAATCAATCATGATAACTCTCAACCACAGCCCAACTTGCTTGCCAATTAATAATATAATAATTTCTCCAGCTTTTATTAATTATTTCTGCTTTTATTTAAAGGAGAAAAAAGAAGAAAAAATATCCATCTAAATTAGGTTGAGCTTGAGCAAGAAAACAAGACAGACTCTGATTTTCTTCGATCATTTTCTGAGTAAAAGAAGATATTATTTTCGACTAATACCAAATGCTATCCGCTTATTCTTAAGAGAACAAAAAGATAAGCCAAATCAATAAGCTGATCTTGACAAGAGAATTATTTAATTCTAAGCTAAACCCAATATCATCGTCACTCATCATAAAACTGGAAACATCATGAATTATATAATAGACAAAACAGCAAATATTGAACAAAACTCAAAGGCAGATCATGTTCAATATTCATGATCTCAAAAGAGAATTTCAATATTCAAGTTTTTGGAAGAGGAACGTTGCATCCAATTTAAAAACTTATAGAACAACGGAAATAACCTTTGAAAAGACATCCTTTAACAAGTTGAACTTTGCTATAAAATATCAAATCATTCTCTGCCTCTAACAAGTTCCGGCGACTAGACAGTTCTCCCGCAATTCCAAAACTCCAGGCGTGTATAACCTTTCATGGTGCTCTTAACAGTCGATGACGGACTTATTCATCAGGTCGACAGCGTTGTCCATGAACTGCATTATCAGAAATCAATTACAGCCAAAGATGATAAGAAACAATCAATCTAATCTCAGAGTCTTACAAAACAGAAAGAGAGGTACAATTTAAGTACTTCTGTAAGCAATGAATTCATATTATGTGCTGAGCACATTTCATTACTAATCACGATAAAGATTAATCCATTTCTCAATCAAAATCCTGGCCTAACCCAATTTTTTTGACATAAGCTGTTTGTACAATGGTGTATATGTACATGTACGGTGAATTACTCACAAGCCCCACAAGTTTTCCTTCAACAATATCTTTCAATGGCTCAAACCAAGATCCTTCTCTCACCTCAATCATTCCCTGGATATTTATCACAATAGTGAGAAGAAACCGAAGCTGATGAATGTTTTATATAATCTCATGCTCAAAACAATGATCATTCCCTTAACCTAATCAGTTTCTCTTCTACATGGGCTTGGATTAGTCTCAGATTCAATGGTAAACTTATTTTGTTAATATTAAAATGGCAATTACTTGATAACGAAGACCGTTGTAGGTTGTTTTGTATTACAAATTTACAAGGTAAGTATATTGAGAACTACCATTTTAACTCTACTTTAAAATATGCATAACGTTCCTATTTTGCCATAATTCCATAGGATTTGATATATTTCTATAGCTGGGGTTTAAGAAATAACAAATAAAGTTATGTTTCCACCCGCTCCAAACAAATAAACTCCATCTACAATTTATAATTTATTTGTTAGTTCTTTAATAATTTACTAGGTTACCGTCCGCGTCATACGCGGACAAATAACATTTACGAATTTTTGTATTTGTTATTTAAATTTTTATTAGCCAAATTTTTTAAACTGTCATGGAGCATCGATCCAATTGATTATACTGCTATCTAAAAAGAAAAAGAAAAAAAAACAGTATGCTAAAATTTCAACCACATCGAAAGACAAAAACAAAGCTGTATGACTGAGTAAGAACCAAAATTTCAAGAAAAAGAAATCAGATGTAAGAAAAAAGAAAAAAAAATTCAGATGTAAGAATAGATAACAGAAGAATTATTTTGTTGAACTCTCAAATCTCGCCTATTCAATCGACACACTCCGCACCAACTAATATATTATTCACTCAACCAATCCCAAAATAATCCATATCATGTCTGGAAAAAAAAAAGAAAAAAAAAACAGAAGAATTTCTGTGAATTATAACAAAGTCCCAAAGACTCTCTGACCAAATCAAAACAGAGTAAAGACGTTCAAAGAAAATGAATACCGGAATTCAAGATGAAGAGAAACTTATATTTGTAGAACAACAATCTTAGCAAGTGAAGAAGAGATCACCATTAAATGCAGTGTTAGTTAGTTGTCTGTTGATACACTTCCATCCCTTAAACAAGTAGTAATATGAATCAGTACCATATGAAAATTGTATCTCACTTGGATATCGCAACGAAATCTCTATATGTATCTCACTAATCCTCTACAAACAAAACTTAACATCACTATCTCATCCCAAATCCTTTGAAGCCAAAAATCTTTTGATTCTCTCACCCTCTTCTGCATATCAGAAGGTTCTGATTTTGATCGAGACGTAACTATTTTTTTAGCTTTATCGTTTGAAGAGACAGATGTTGAACGTCATAGAGCCATTGTTTCTAGAAAGAGCATATGAGATTGAAGAAACCATAGAAATAGGCGATTATGGTTCTAATCTTGTGGCCAAAAAAATTTAGGATTTTCTAATAAATGATGATTAAAGAGATTTAACCTCATAATTTTTTTCTTTGTGAAAGGATTTAATCCCTTCAAAATCAGATTTAACCTCACAATTTAAAGAGATTAGGGTTCTTATTAATTTTTTAAAAAATTAAATTTAGCCGAAAATAATAACATAATCTAATATTTATTTATAAGATTAGATTAAATTAGCTTAAGAAAATAATTAAGTTTTTTATTTAGAATATAGATAAATAAATAATCAATATATTTTATTAAGGGTAATTAAAGTAAATTCACATGAGGGGCAAAGAGTAATCAACCATTATAACTTTCAACCAGAGCCCAACTTGCTTGCCAATTAATAATATGATTAACCGGTAACCCATATATAACATACCTCTCTGTTTTTCAATATATGATGTTTTATTTTTGGCGTAGGTTTTAAGATATTTATTTTTTTATTATTTTTTTGCTTTCCAATATAAATATACCAATAAAATAAAAGTAAAAATAATATTTAATTTAAAGCTAAAATATCAAACTTTAAAAAACAAACAAAAATCCTAAAATATCATACGTTTTAAAACAGAAGGAGTATAAATAAGAGTAGACTAGAAAAATCATTAACTCTTCAAACATTCTAAGATTAAATCTGGGCCGTCGGATCATTTTGCAATCATGCCGATCAGAAACATCGCCGCTGGCCGTCCGGAGGAGGCGAGCCGTCCCAACGACTTAAAGGCGGCGTTGGCTGAGTTTATATCAACCATGATCTTCGTCTTCGCCGGCTCAGGTTCAGGAATTACTTTCAACAAGCTCACTGAAAACGGAGCCACCACTCCTTCCGGCCTCGTAGCCGCCGCACTGGCTCACGCCTTTGGACTCTTTGTCGCCGTCTCAGTCAGCGCCAACATCTCCGGCGGACACGTTAACCCCGCCGTCACTTTCGGCGCTTTCGTCGGTGGTAACATCACTCTCCTCCGTGGTATCCTCTACTGGATTGCTCAGCTACTCGGCTCTGTCGTCGCTTGTTTCCTCCTTAAATTCTCCACCGGCGGTTTGGTATGTAAAATTACCTTTATGCCCTTTTTAGTACCGTTAGAATGCTCACATTAGAAATGAAGATCAACCAAAATCTCGGTACAAATTGCCTAATTGTATTTTTACCTCGAATTGCCCTAACTTCTCCGTCAAGTATCTAATTAAGAAATTTCATTTTGTAGGCGGTGCCGGCTTTTGGCCTCTCCGCCGGAATAGGAGTGTTGAATGCTTTTGTTTTCGAGATCGTGATGACATTCGGGCTGGTTTACACAGTCTACGCCACCGCCATCGATCCCAAAAACGGGAATCTCGGAACAATCGCTCCGATTGCAATCGGTTTTATAGTCGGAGCCAACATCTTAGCCGGAGGAGCCTTTAGCGGAGCCTCCATGAACCCCGCCGTGGCTTTCGGACCAGCGGTGTTGAGCTGGTCGTGGAGCAACCACTGGGTCTACTGGGCCGGACCTCTCGTCGGCGGTGGAATCGCCGGACTCATCTACGAGGTTTTCTTCATCAAGACATGCTCCATCCAAGTTTCTTCACCAAATTTTTTGTTAGAGCTGTCATTTTAAAAAAAACAAATTCAATAAAAAGCCATCAAGAATTTAGATATTCATTCAATTTATTGCTTACATTCAGATTTTAAATTATTGATTTTGAGTCAAGTAAAAACGAAAAAATTACATAAGATAACATATACATATATATGGCGCAAATTTATCAAGTAATTAAAAAAGAAAACCCACAAATGGAGCAAAAGTCCCTTCTTTCTATGGTTTCTATCATTGTCTCTAACTTATGTTTAACCGGTTCGACCAAATAAACCCATGATCCGACGAGATGCTCGGTTTGACATCTGGCCTGTTTCTGTTTCTTAAAACAATGATCCAAATCGAAATTCCCTCATTGGCTAATGCTTTTGGTATGTTCCCATGTTCCGGCGGGTATAACTGTAAGGGCATTAACGTTCTTGATATGTGACATGCTATCAGTGCCGTCCCTAAATGTATGGAGGCTTAAAGCAATATATATTTGAAAAATGTGGCTTTTAGATATTAAAAAAATATAATTTTGTTTTATTGTTACAATATTCTTTAATATGAATATATCTTGTTTTAGTTTATATAGAAAAACAGATGTAGAGTGTTGAAACAAATTTGTATTATGGGTTTTTGGAAAAAAAAACTATTGAGATTTGAAATTATATATTGCTTCCAAAAAAGATTTCATTTAAATTCTAAAAACTATTTCATAAAAGTGATAAAAAACCAATAAAATTGGAGAAATAGAAAGAAAAAAATGAATTGTTGTCTTTTTCTAGCAAACCAAAACTGGATTTTAATCAGTAGTATTTATGTTAGCTGAAGATAGTTATTGAAATTTTTTATATTTACCAACCGAGTCTTTGAATATGTGCATATGGAAAATCCAAAAAGGAATGATCTACTGGCATTGAACTAATGCATGCAGACCAATTACGATGTGTTGCCTAAATTTTTTTGAATACTAATTGTGGTTTAATGCTTATGCTTCATGTGCTTTTGTGGTCGGGACGAGCCTGCATGCTACGTTCCAAAAACTAGAATTCTTGTTTGGTTGGGCATTAGATATTTCTCAAAAGCTTTGGCTATACGAATGGACAGAAGCACGTGAATACGCCACTGCACAATTTTTTTAGCATCTTCATGACTATTCATTTCTTATTTTTAAGCAAATCTTGTTTTTTTAGTTCTCGGTCCATAAATGTTTCTTCGGATGTTTTATATTGAGTGGTACTGTGGCGTATCCTTCCAATGTGATCACTATTTTCTATAGTTACACTAAAGGATAATCTGAAGATTCAATTCTACATGTAGATTCGTTATCTCTTAAAATTTTGTAATAAGCATATAATATTTTTAACAATAGTTTAAATAATGTAGAATGGTCGACGATTCTACAGTCGACTACACTCTCTACACGTACGTTTTCGCCTATTAGAATGTATATAATATAATTAAACTCGATACCCATGTGCCCTCCTATATCGGAAATTTTACCTAACATTCTGTAGTTTCTCTTTACTCTTTTCCCTAGAAATGTGATTTCTCATCAACTTTTCGTGACTGAATAGTATAATAGAGTACACTCATGACTCATGAGTCCATATTTTGTAGTTTAAATGTTTGTAGTTTAAATCTAGATACTAAGTTCCAGTGAGGAGATTACTACAAAGACAGTTAGCAAAAAAAAAAAAAAAAAAGCAAATGAAGAATAAAACACTTTCATTAACCATTCTCACTTGTATGGTAACGTTTCTATTTGCGTACATGATACATCTTCCTTCTTTTACACAACAAAAGAGAACTGAACTGTGCTTTATACTTTTATTTCACTTTTTGTTTTCTTTATCCATCATGTTTATACCGGTCCGTCATTTATATGGTTAAAAGTAAAACCATTCAAATGCTAGTGTTATGTAACATTTATAGCTAGATATCAATGTATTGATTATGGTTATGAAAGTAACATTCAAATTTTTATATTATTTACTTTCAAAATTTAAATGTTATTTACTTGCATTGTGTTGGATTTATAGCTAGATATCAATACATCGATAGCACGAAGGCATGCCTCTAGATTACATAACACTAGCATTTGAATGGTTTTAAATTTAAATTTAGATAACAGAATGCAATGTATTGATATCTAGCTATAAATAACATTTAAATTTTGATATAAAAATATCTAAGTACTTTGCTCAAATTAGTAATTAATCAAAGATGTTCAACAACTAGAGAAATTTAATTCTAAGCTAAACCCAATATCATCGTCACTCATCATACAATTGGAAACACCATGGATAACAAACAAAACAGCAGTTCATGTTAAAGATGCTTATTCATGATCCTATTTGGAGCTCAAAAGAGAATCTCACTATTCCTTCCAATCTAAAAACTTGAAGAACCTCGGAAATAATCTTTGAAAAGACATCCTTTAAAACTGTAATTCATTTCAAACCAATGATTTTGGTAGCGTATAGATTTTTTTCTGTAACAATAGTCAATAAGAAAACCCTCTATATACACACACCATATTGAACTTTGCTATAAGATCAAATCATTCTCTGCCTCTAACAAGTTCCGGCGACTAGACAGTTCTCCCGCAATTCCAAAACTCCAGGCGTGTACAATCTTTCATGGTGCTTAACGGTCGATGAAGGACTTATTCATCAGGTCGACAGCGTTGTCCATGAACTGCATTCTCAGCAACAACAGAGAAATCAATTACAGCGAAAGATGATGGGAAACAATCAATCAAATCTTAAAGTCTTACAAAACCGAAAGAGAGGTATAATTTAAGTACTTCGGTAACCAATGCATTCATATTATACGCTGAGCACATTTCATTACGAATCACGATAAAGATTAATCCATTTCTCAATCAAAATCCTGGCCTAACCCATATGTTCTGACATAAGCTGTTTGTATAAAGATGACTATCAAACGCAACCTCATCGGAATTCAGATTTCTCAGTTAGAACCAGAAGGCTAGACCATAGACAGTTCCAGGGTTCGACTCCCACTAAGCCCCACTAGGAAAGCCCCATGATTAGTTTAAGCTTTGTCCTAAGAAACCAGCTTTACCCAAAAAGGAGATGACCGTCTATGATGAGTTACAGGACACAAGAAACTTAATCCCATCTCTCGTAAAATCACTTCACACCAAACACTAGCCTCAGTTTAAACAAGGGCATTAATAGTTCAAATGATTACCTCAAAACAGATACAGAGGCAGAAATAATATCATTCGAAAGTATTGGCTCATATTGACAGGAAGTGGATAAATTTGATTAAGACAGAAAGCAAAAAAAAAACGTGGGTCTTTTTACCTTCCCAAGCATTTTCAGCTCTTTCCCCACTGGTTCCAGAAATTTAAGATCAACTTCAACAGGCCACACCTATTCAAATGCAAAGAACATGAAACATGTTAACAAACGAAACCTCATTACCATTCCATGAGTGAAGAAAACCAGAGAGTTATAAGAGAAACTAGTCAAAATGTCAAAGTCTGATGTTTTCCATTGTAATTGCTATAGCAACATCAGGTCAAAACATTCTCTGCCATTATATCTTAAGCATCTACAGACTTATAACCTATTCTCAAAGGCGAGCCACAAGATGAGAAAGTTACACAAAACTACCAACGAAACTAGAACACTTAAACAGAACAATTCTAAACATATAACTATCATTCATTCTCTCTGCATTCCAACACTCAACCATCATCGAGAATTCAAAAGGAAATTTCTTAAGAAGCAAACCTTAAGACCAAGCAGCCGAAGAGGCGTGACTTGGCCAGGAACAACACATTCGGGTCCTGCAGATTCAAGTACCGCGTCCATCGCAAACCCACCTCCCACCGGATTCGGATGCTGCACAGAGAGAGAGTGAGAGAGAGAGAGAGATTAAGCAAACCCAGAATCAAAAAACAACTGAATTCCAAAATCGATTACAATCAGCAAACAAAACAAATCAAAAGAAAAAACCTTCATGACGGCAATGGCGTAATCGGTCTCAGGGGTTTGAGAGATACTAAGAACCGGAGAGCGACTGATTCGAGGCACCGGTCTTACTGATGATACACGCCATGGTGCATCCTCAGCGAGCGTAGCTCCTCCTTTCTTCGCCATTTCACCTTAAAAGATTTCGTTTTTCGCTAGAAGAAGAAACACTGAAGCAGAAATTGGAACTGAGAGCCCTTCAAAAAATAAAATTTCCTCTGGATAGAAAGAATTATCTGATTGCCAAAGGCGAAAACAAGCTTTGTGGTCAGCTTTCGGATTGTCTTCGTGTGCTTGTTAAAGAGACTCCACTTTTTTCGGTTTCTCCTTCAACTTGTTTACCCCTCACTAAGTGTTTAATTACGGGAATAGGCCACTCTCATTATTAAACTCGGCCCATTAAGCCCAAAGAGAAGAAGACAAATAAGAGTGAGTGTGATTTCCTCATATTATCTTAGGCTTAATTGGCAACAAATAACAACTTAATTGTTGAATGTAGCTGAATTTTAATTGAAAAAACTTTTGTTACATCAGTTACAATACTAGTAAAATTGTAGAATGGGTTAAATTATTTATTTTTAATTATTCTTTTATTAGTTTTTTACATTTTAAATAGTTCATTAATTAATTTTATGTTGTATAAAGTGATTTATTTTTATATGTTTGAATCTTATAGCAAAATTAATTGAAAACAATTTTAACTACTTTACTATTCTCGGTGTGGACGAAAAATAAGCATCTGATATGAAATACTGGGTTAATTATCACTTTATATAGTTAACTATCGTTTGTTTTGTTTTAAAAACAACGTATTTAACAAGTTTAACATATTATTTTTGGTTCATATGTATAATTAGACTCTTTCAAACGCACCAATACAGCCCTCAAAAGACATCCAATCTAAACACTTTTGTTTTTGTACAGGTTTGGTATCATTTTGAAGTTCTTCACTTCTTCTAGTTTACTCATTAATTTTCAATCCAAATTCTCAGTTTTCATTTTGTGTTGCTGTTATCTTGTTTGTGATGAGAATTGTGCCCGAACGCAAGAGAATCATAGAATTTGATTATAGAAAAGCAATGTTACATGAGTTACCGATCCCATTCTTACTTACAATTATAATATGTATAGATTACAATAAAACCGAATGTTCAAAAAACCAAATTTCAACTCTACTTTAAAGGATAAGATTGTTATAATATTTTGTATGTATAAAAACTCCATTATCTACCATAAACTCCACATTCATCATTTTTAGTAATCCTAATCACATGTATATATGAATAATAATAAAAAAGCCCGTTCTATGTTAACTAATGGATATGGAAGTTCTGCATTTAGAAAAAAACAGTGGAATATAATACCCAATAATAGTATGTATTGAGTATAAAGCTATCATTAGATCTGTTAAGATTATCAGGACAGCTAACTAGCTGATTAGTTAGTGAAAGCTAAATCCAGAAAAATAATTATAATTGAAAGATGATTGCTCCATTCACATTTGGGCCAATCACAAACGCTTGGATCATGCAAGTAGTGGGCTCAAGCCCAATAAGAGTGTAGTACAAGAGAAGAAGGTGAAAGTTTGGGCTGATGGCCTAAGAACATTCAGTCATTTCCTTGGTAGATAAGCAACAAGGGTTTATTATATAAACCTAACGAGAAGGAGAGAAGAGAATAAGAGGGAGACACGGTCAAGAGTCTTGAAGGTTTCTTATCTTCTTCTTTGAGCTTGTGTGTGTTTGTTCACGTTCACGTTTCAGAGTTAAGGTCTTTAATTTTCTTGTTGTACTAAAAGAGCGAAAGAGATATATGAGACTAGAGACAAATATCATACTTGTAAACACTTGCTTGAATTGAATTTAGTGGATCGTTGACGACGTTGAGAGCAGTGTCTCTCCACAGACGTATCGAAATGGAACTGGTTAAACAAATTTCTTGTATCTTGTTTAAATCAACAACAAGCCAAATACGTATGCAGTTAGCTTAATTCATATTAGCTAAGGTGGTTTAATTCAATATCAAAACCTCACAATAATCGTCATATCATTACATTTGAATTATCTATAGCTTGTAATTTTTTTTTTACTATAGCTTGTAATTCTCCTTTTTTGTTAAGTACTATAGCTTGTAATTATCTATAGAGTTTATTTTGCTTAACCATTGTCATTACATTGGAAATAACATTTCGAATAAACTCATGTAAATTTCTTACAATATGAAAATATAGTCATTTCAAAAAGAATTACAAAAACTTGATCCCATCATAATATTCTAAGAACATTAAAATTTGTCTTCAGCGATTACAAAAACAACAAAATAAAAGTACGCCAATAAGTGAAATCAAAACAGATTATGTTATGGGAGAATCTAGGGGTGGGCACAATTTCCGTCCCATCCCGTTCCAGTCCCAATCCCAAATTCCCGTACCATATACATTTCCATATGGTACAACATATTGATTTCCATTTGGGAATGAGACGGGACGAGACGGGAATGAGAATTCTCGAAGTCTCATTTGTCCCGAATTATATATAATTAATAAATTAAATATTTAAAATATATTACTAAAAATAATAATAATTATTTATTAATATATTATTTTATATAAACGAAATTTAAAACTTAAAAGTTACACCCCTAAAGTTCTAACTTATAAGTTATAGTCTAAATGCATGCTGATTGCTGAGATTTGAATAGATTATGTTGGTTTTTATTTTTTATTTTATTTTATATGACTAATAAACTATATGTGGTTGTTGACAAAAAAAAAAAGATAGACTATATGTGGTTTTTTGTTTACTATTCAATGGATTATGTTGCTTTTTTAAAAAAATTGAAGCTTTTAAATTTTAATAATTAAGTTAAGTTTGATTTCATTTATTTCTTCGTTAATTTATAATCTTATATAACATGTTATTATTACTTATTGGAATTTAGGAAGTGAACAATGGACGAATATAAATTGAATTTTTTTTTTTTTACAGTTGTCAATTTGTCGTGTTTTTAGGTTTTTTGGGAATTCCCATCCCATTCCCGTCCCATCCCGTCCCATCCCGTCCCATTCCCATTTCCGTCCTAAATTTTGAATGAAACACATATGGGACAATTATTTTGATTCCCATATTCCCGTCCCGTTCCCATTCTTATAAAATCCTATCCCATATTCCCGTTTGCCCACCCCTAAGAGAATCCATAGCTCGACTTGAGTTCCTAACTGAAGCACGCCAGTACCAAAACCCTATTCCTTATATTCGAAAAGGAAACGTATCAAGCAAGCATCTTTAGGAATTATCACTTCCAAACACAAAAAACAAGAAAGGAAAGTCAGATTTGCCTTTCGTTAGGGCCTTAAGAAAGATTTCTTCTTCTTCTTCCAGCGAGCACATCTCAAGCACACAATACAAATAGAAAAGCTTATAGCTTCTTTCTACAAAACCACACTCATATGGTCTAGTTATTATCTCTAACACCATCCAATATTTACACATTGCAGCCTTAGAGAAAATCCCGATTGTGAGATAAAATTTCCCACATATCATTTTAATCTACATACACTCGTCATTGAATCAAAAAGTGACTATCTTACAGTCATATTCTTGCGATGAGTCTTGAGGTTAGCTGATGCAAGCGTTGAAGAATTCACTCCCAACCCATTAAAGTATTCCACACTTGTTCCTCTATCTTGCTTCTCCATACTGGTAAGCTACCATCTTCGTTGATCAACACTTTGTACACTTCCCATTCTCTGTCTCCCGTCACGTGTCTTCCAATTTCAGCCTATTAAAGACATCATCGATTCATGGAATTTAGATGTTAAAAAAAGAAGAAGAGTATGCAAGGTATGAGCTTTCGAATGGTGCGACTTGATGAGTTGTATATATTATATACATACCGAGAAGATGCAGGTATTGATCTTCTTGAGGGCAACTGCAATGTCGTGGAAGACTTGTGGCCGTCCTTTTCCTGATAACTCAACAGGGTTTGTGACTAGAAGTTGAGTATCTGGACCTCGATTCATGATTACCACTCTCAGAGGTTGCTGTAGCTCTGCTTTTAAACGAGAAATCAGTGCGTCTTGCTTGCTTGAGTCAAGTATCTTCCTACCATCAGACTGCACGATGAACAAGTCGATCTCACAGTTCGTTCCACGTTTGATTGTAAAACGCCCATATGAGATCTGACCATGAAAACCAAAAGATTTGAGGAAATGAATCCCATGTGAATATCAGTTTAGCCAATGCAGATGAAAAAGGACCTGCACAAACCTGAATGTTGAAATCCTTGAAGGTTCTCATAATATCATAGAGAAGGCCTTTGTGGTCTTGACAAGTGATTTGAACGAGCGTGTGAGCTGGGCTTAGCGAGTTGTCGACCGCAATAGACACACTGCTTGAAGTGTGTAATAACCCACTCGGGTGCTCTCCAGACACATCCGAGGAGAACAAAGCTTCTGCAACGGACGAGGAAGCCTGTGAGCGAGCTGTGATTTCTGGGCCAACAAGTTCAATGTCATAGCTCATCACTGAGTCTCCTACGGCATCTCTCAGGCACTCGTACACTTCGTCCCGCCTCTTCCCCGTTCCTAAAAGCTCTCTGACAAAGAAACAAGACCTTAACATAAACATTCCACGAATATCAAGAAACTCCCTTTCAGATTTTCGTTTGTGAATAAACGGTACCTAGTGTCTGTGACAAAGAACAAGTCCATCACTTTCCCATCAGGGGTTGTCGATATCTTCACTTTTTCAATGTTAATCTCAAGCTTGTAAAGAACCTCTGTGACATCTGCCAATCAAAAAGAATCAGACTTTAAAAATCTTTGAGGACACAGGGCTACATGGGAAACAGAGAAATCAAGAACACAACAGAGAGACTAACCATACAGAAGGCCTTTGCGGTCGGAGCAACCTAGCTTCAATAGGAAAAGATCAGGGAGCTTGGGAGGCTGTAACTCAGAGTCAGAGAGGTAACATCTTGAGATACCAAAGGCCCATGAGAAAGAAGGGCTTGCCTCTGCAAGTCTCATCTTCAACAGATTCCATCTCGTGTTTGGTTTCCCAATCACCCAGAAGACCAAGTAACACCATTTTCCGTCGGTCGATACATCTTCACAGAGGAATTTCAACAAACACATTCAGGTCACAAACAAGAGCAGATATAAAATAAGGATAGCAAACTTGAATTTCCATCAAATTTCTAGAAAACGTACAGAAGCAGAACAAAATTGAAATCCAAATACCTAAAATTTTTGCTCCAAGATACTATAATTTTAAATCGAATTTACCTCCTCTGACAATGTTGAGACCGAAGAAGAGGATGATACGACATAGATCACAGCCGAGACCAGTTTTGTCGGGACAATTGATGGTGATAACACTCGGGTCGCCTTCTTTCTCGGACTGCCTGATTATCACAACGTCATCCGACAAAATACCCATCTCCTTCTTCTTCTTCTTCTTCTTCTTCTCCGTTGAAGTTTTCCGATTTTGACAGGTTCTCTGATGGGTTCGCTGGGTTTTGTTGCAGAGAGAGAAAGAGAGAGTCAAAAGACTAAAAGGTGTTAGAGCTTAACTCCGTCGTGTTGTTGTACTTGAAACCATGTTTCGTGTTTTTGTCATAATCTTTACGCTTTTTACTCTGATTGTGATTTTCTTCCTCAACTACAGTATTAATCTTCTCTTTCTCGTTTTATCCACTAACTCCATTCTATGTTATAATTTAAACAAAATAAAGCAAGGATAAAATCCACTAGTCAAAGCTGAATCTTCTTGATTGGTGAATCTTCTTGATTGATGGGATATTCAGGTGCATTATGACGCAATCTTAGTAGGCAGAGTATATAATCCTGTGTCCGGATTCAGATTGAAAAACCAAAACGTAACTAATATTAATTCATTTTGTAGTATGTATTTCTTTGAGTATTGTTATATGTGATTTTGTTGTTCGATTTTGAATTTTGGGTTGAATAAGTGAAACAAGTTTGATTTCTCCACTTTCTGCATTTTAAGTTTTTTATAATTATATTTACTCAGAATTGTTTACTCCCACTAGGCCACAACTCACAAGTGAGGACTTGAGGCGACTAATAATTTATTAAGTAAATCACAATTGACAAGTCCTACACAATTACATATGATATAATATATACGTGGCCAGACAAATCTTTTTTACCAGATCGATATGTAATAAGCAGTGAGGTAATTTGGTGAGTGCACAACTTTACAAATTGCAATTAATTAAATTACACGATCGGACTTTACAAAGCAAAACCTTGCTTACCTGGCTTCTTCACAAATGAAATTACTTTGTAATACGGTAGTAACAATAAAGAAGAAGGGTTAAAGAAATGAGATGGTTTGTCGAGAGGGCAAGATAGGTAATGGTTTGCAAAAACTCGACCAACAGTAGTATTGCGTTCATCTCTTTGGTCGCTCAACTAAACTCACTTTGCCAATGAAAGATGTATATATATATCGTCTTCCTTTTATTTTATAGTATATATAAAAGAAGATATTTCAAATGGACTTGAGTCTACAACACTCAAACATAAAATTACTTATTACATTAGTAACGTTACGTACGTACATACTTGCATGTTAATTTCGCTCTCCGAATCACTGCATGATTAATGAAAAACATTGAAAACGCTTTTATATATAGTACTGACTTCACCGTACGCCATTATTCAGATTCAGATTTTCTTTATTTTTCTTTATAATCGTTAAAATATTTACTTGACAAAAAAGGAAAAAAATGTGACTTAAATACTATGATTTTTTTTACTAACTTACATGTAATTGTTCTTATGAATTCCTTTATGTTTTATTATTGTAAACTAATTCTCAACAGTTTTACTTTTAGCAAATAGCACCTCTTATTTTCGTATTTTACAAACTAGCTCTAACTACAAATCATTTTAAAAAATTTGTATGTTAATAAAAATTGTTCTATATTTTTTACTGTATATAACTATTAAAATGTTTAAAAGTATATAAAATATATTATATTTTTATATTTTATATTTTATATTTTATATTTTATATTTTATATTTTATATTTTATATTTTATATTTTATATTTTATATTTTATATTTTATATTTTATATTTTATATTTTATATTTTATATTTTATATTTTATATTTTATATTTTATATTTTATATTTTATATTTTATATTTTATATTTTATATTATATTGACCCCGATAAAAATAATTTATAGCTCCGCCAGTGCTCAAATCCATATTAAGGTAGAATTATAATTATCTGATCGTGGTAAGAGTATTTGCTTTAGAATTAGTGACATGCATGCATGTATCTACGTCTTTAAACATAAATAAAAATAATTAGATCGGGTTAACATGGCCTTTTGATTTGTATATATGCAGAAGAAAAGAGTTCGCCAATCTTGAGGTGATCCGACGTCACTAGTAACAATGTGACATGCGTTAATTAGATCGGATTAACATGGCCTTTGCATCTTTGTATGAATACAATGTGGTGGGTCATATAGAGGGATTCTTGTTCATCTATGGGTTTGTTGTTTGGACGAGAATATAACAATGAGTACAGACTCTTAACACCGCAAGGATGTGTACGCTTAGGTGCAAGTAAAAGATTATTAAAAGACAAAACAATGCATTATTATGTACTTATCAAACCCTCAATGCTAACATTCTTGTCAACCATAGTTCTTAGCATTCTTATGTACTTATCAAATCCACTGCAAATTCCAAATGACACCCTTCTAGTCAACCAAAGTACTCAAATGCGTGTGAATTTTTCAAAAAATATATAATATAATCTAAAAGACAGAAGATATCATTTATATTCATATGTCACTAAAATCATATGAAAGAAAGACAGAGCGAGAGAGGAAAGGGAAGTTATCCCCGCTGCATCTCTAATAAACGTAAGTAACTCTACAACTTCTCTCATTGTTCCTTCAAGATGAAAACTCATTCATCTATGATCTTCACAAAAACATATTGCTCATGATTTTTATTCAAATGCTACACCTTAAATATTGTAAAAATAATGTAATGAAATTTGATTATTCATTGTAGTTGGAATAATTAAAGATTGTGTGGATGGAGTGATAAACTATCTCACACCCAAATTTGGATAATGAACTTTAGTCTTCTAATGTATTGTTGTTGGGTTTTGCAGAAAGCCGTAGAATCAATAGAGATAATGGAATAAAGAAGGTTTAGACTTAAGCGGAAGATATGGTATATTCAACGTAAAAACAAACTTAATGCGTTATAAGTAGAAAGTATACCATCTATCACTTTACACCCGCCACTCTAAAGACCCTAGAGGAACGATCATTGGGCTGTCCGAAATGTCAATCATCAAACATTAACTCTTGTTTCTGAATCCAATCTTCCTTAAAAACTTGTAAACTCTTGTTTTCTATGAAACACTAAACTTTCCTTCCTTGCTTTACTCATTTTGTTCACCATGCCCATTAAACTAATCGTTGCTGTTCTATCCATCATTCTCATTCATTCTCCTTCCTCTCCCTCTAATGACCAAGAATCAACCACACCAACAACATTTATTGGAGACAAACCAGAAAGATGTCTACAAAAATGGAGGTCATGGTCAAAGCTTATACACTTTTACGAATATATATATGCAAATATGGTCTTGTTTGAAGATTAGGTGTGAATGTGACTATCCTACTATAGACTTATAGTATATATATCTGATTGTTTTGTATTGTGTATGCATCATGATTTTTGTATACGTAAGTAAAATCCGATTAGATCGATCGTTGTGTTGTCTTCAAAAGTAAGCTCAGAGAGTACGTTACTGATTTAGCCACTGATCTCCATCTATGTAAGAAATGTTCGTGAATGAAGATGCTTCAGAATCTGTTAGTTGTTTCCCGTACGAGACTCTCTCCCTTTGTAATTTGATCTCTTTTTGTTATAATATTCCATATTTTCCTATAACTACATAAATACAATATTGTTCTAAATTTTGAAAAGGAAAGAATAAAAAGTGAGTTGAAGAAATTAAAAAAATGAGCAAAAACTGAGAAAAAATAAACAAAATATAAGTAAGAAAATAAGGAAAAAAAAATGTTCTCAATAAATAACAAAATCAACCCATTCCATCTCTTTTCTGATATCATCGTACACCGCAAATAATTTTTAATCAAGTTTGTGATCCTAAATGGTTTTATATTTTACAGTACCCTTCTCATTCTCAAACCATCCGCAAAAGGATCTCAAGTTATGTGTCCTAAATGGTTTTATATTTTACAGGACGGTGTATTTCGGAGAACACAAATGCTTTGGAGAGGGAGCAAAGTACAAAGAGAGAGTTCCATACGGGAAGCAGCTAACAGCTTCTGAAGCTTCTCCATTCACAAGCATCTCCTACATTGATGGAGATGAGTGGCTGCATGAAACTAACAAAGATGATTTTATCAGTTTTTAATGACCTATGTAAGGATTCTAATGCCAAAATAAATGTGATCTTATTAGTTACTTTTAAAGAAAGATACCAAGTGTCAATTCCTTGTTCGAAAAGAAAGCAACTACAGAGCAAAGCAGGGTGTGTAATTATTCCACGTCTTTGGTTTGTGTATAGGCAAATCTAAAGAAATCGCGAAACTGTGAGATTCTACGTCATTAGTAACATGCATGATCAAGTAGTCATGTTTGTTCTTCTTAGGTCATAAGATCCGCTTTAATTTTTATTAGGGTTTGTACATTGAAAACATAAAAACTTGATGTCGCAACTGTATCTTGGTTTTGGCTATTTGCAAGACGATAATGCGGACATAACCTAATCAAGTTTTTCATTAACCAACCATAAAAAGCAGAGAACAGAGATTAAAAACAGAGCTTACAAAAGCACGAATTCCATTTGTCAACAGCAAGCCTCATCGATCCCTTGAACATATCTATTATTTGCATTCCTGGTTTCATCTGGTTCACTGGACCCAGAAAATTATAGAAAAACAGCAAGAAAGATTTGTATTAGAACCAAGAAAGCGACCATCACTGTGTAAAACAGCAATGTGATCCACTTTGAATAACCTATTATTGTACATCAATGCAGAAGAGAGCCAAGAGTGTGTGTTTAGACAACAAAACCTCACACTCTAGCAAATGACTTAGAAGTAATATCAACGCCGTCCGGACAAAGGCTTCAAATATCCAACATTTGATTATTATCTTTTTTAACACAATAGCTACGATGTTACATGCACGAAATAAGTAAAAATTAAAAACTTTTATGCTTTGATACTAAAGCATCAAGTCTTTCTATCTACGAACATATTTGTTGCGCCCCTAACTTTTGACTCACATTTGAAAAATGATTTAGGTGCCAATTAGTGGTTTATCAGAAATGAAAGACAGATTCGAACATACTAAAATTCCACAGGATCATTCAGGCTAGTTCAAAAACAGAGGTTCTACAAAAAAAATCGAACAAAACTCACCTTGGGCGTTGCGAGAGGCAAAAATTCATAGAATGAGACTGAGCTTCCAAGCCACGTGCACTGCCACGTCTCTGTTTCTAGTAAATCCACGTAAACAAATTATCACAGAGGAAATCAAAGCAAGAGCTCAGAAGCAGACGGAGTCATGTTTCATTTCATCATCAACATAACCCAAGCTTACGGCAACAAATCATATCAGAAGAAGCCAAAACAGAGCATGAAGCACACAGGGAAGCCGCAAAACCGAATCAACAAGATACATAAAAGGGAAAATTGAGTACCAAGGCAGTAAGCAAACCTAATCTGAGACGACGCCGTCTCTCATTTTTAAGATATATTAAAACATATAACAAAAGTAAAAAAGAAATTATATTTAAATAATTAATAAATTACGTAATAATAAAATACATTGGGTTATTGGTTTGTTTCGGTTTTAAACTGAACCAAAATTAATCGTTCGGATTGAGAAAAGCTTCCACCACTTCAACCACTTAGTTTATGTATTGCGTATGGTTTGGTTTGGGTTCGGTTCAGTTTGGTTCAGTTCAATTCGATTTTTTTTTTCACCTCTGTAAAATTAGACGTGTTTCATGATGTAGCAAATTGATTTCTACATTACAAATTTGCTCAGACAATCCTATATCAAAGAATTTAGGTGAAGAAATTTCAATAAAACAACATTCATAAATTTGAGATTGCGATTAGTACTGATATTAGCTATCATAATAAAAAATTGAGTATCAATAGTTGATCTGTTTACATAAATGAAAATGAAACCGAATAAATCTTTCACTTTCTAACCAAATTGTTATTTTGTATAGCAGTTTGTACTTTGTACCTAACCAAAATTGGGGGTTATTGGCAGATGGAATTATAAAATTTTGATTGAAGTTGAGAGATTTGTTAAATTTGTTAAAAAGATTTGTTAAATTTGAAAAGAGTTTGTATATTGAGAATGTAAACCATATAAATTCTTTCAAAATCTTGTTTTATGATTTAAATTGTTTAAAATCCATATCTCAATAATACAAAATTTTAATAGAGTCAAGCTAATATTAATTTATTAATCAATTAATAATTTTATAAATTAATTAAAAAATCCCAATACTGTATTATTAATTTAGAAAAGTTTTACTGTATATATATTATATATAAAATATGTAATTTTCAATTTGATATTTGAGGAAATGCTAGTAAAAGTCTTGAGCCAGAAGATCAAAGATTTTCAGAAAACAAACATATCTCAATTTGAGAAAAATCAAGTTATCAATAGTCAAGGCTAAATAAACACACAAGATTTGAGCTTAGAGAAAACATAAAATAAGATTACAAAAAGAGATAAAAAAAATCCAAGTCGATGAGCTTTCAATGACAGTCCTAACAAACTCTACAAAGCTCATTTTACATTCCAACAAACAAAATGGCCTATTAGTAACTCCTTAGGTCTCTTCTACTTCCACACTAAACTCTCTCTTTCTCTAATCAGGTTTCAACATTCGCTCTGTTTCCGGCGAGGATAATGGAGATCTCGAGTCCGCGACTGAAGGCTTGGTTGAAGAGGAGACGAGACTGGAACGTGGAGATGAATGGGAACCACGAAAGCAGAGCAATCGGAGCAAATATGAGCATACCCATCGCAGCATCATAGATACGTCCAAACTCACGTACTGTTTCCCACAAGCCAAAGAGTTTGATCACCCGTTTCCATGTAATGGCTAGAGACAGTATTGCCCAACCGGTCGGGATGAAGCCGAGGACACATGCAAACATGTCTGGAATGGATAAATTTGTTAACGCGATGGCTAAAGCGATGAGGGCGATGAATGTGAGTGAAACCACTCCCTGTAGAAAACGCAGCGCCAGAAGAATGCTGCTCGACTTCCTCGGGCTATACCAGAATAGCTGAAGTAACAAAGGAGACATGATTAACGTTGGTGGATGGTCGGAAAATGAAGAACATGAGATCTGGGAAAGTAATTTGTGAAATTATTAGTACATACCTTAAACAAAAGCACAATTGCAACCAATACGATCCATGAGTAGCCATAGAGCTGCAAAACAGAAAAAAAGATCAATTGAACTTACTCAGAAACACGATTTTCAAATATCTGATTTTAACTGAATTAAACGACGAATACAACAAGCTAAAAGCTAAGCTTTACCACAAGTGAGGTGTTTTTCATAGTGAGATCGAGCTTGTACACGATGCCATATTGAAACATGAGGAACCTCAAGCTCAAAATGGTCTCCAAAATCCGTCCTCTTAGTGTTTGGATATGCATCTGTAAAAAGGAAAACAAAATATTTATAAAAACTAACTAATACGGAGTACAACAATAATACATCAAAACATAAAAACAGTAAACAAACCTGTTCTTCCTCCCACCACGACTCCCAACTGAGCTCTCCCTTTACTCCCACTCCACCTTTGTACATAAGCCAACTGACCCAGTTATCAAAATCCTCGACAGTCCTAAATCAAGCATGAGAAAGTAAAGGTCAATATTCAGTCATTTAAGATATGTGGTCATCTGTGGCACCACAGGAAAGCAAATAAAGACGAAAATGGAATGAGACCAAGGAATAGGCACTATACTAACTTTTGCCATTCGAATCCAGAAGGATTGAAGATATAGGGTGCAAACAACCAGGAGATTACAAGGAACCAACTGCTAAGAGTGAGCAAAACGAATGAAACGGCACCCCCGTCTGTATACCCATAGGCAATGTAGACTATCAGCAGTAGAGCTACTTCAAAACTGCGCAAGAAAACAGGCTCGCATAAGTCAGTAAGAAACACCTTACTGTGCATCCGCATAATAAATTTAGAAGCTCTCATCCCCACAGTTTAAATCAAGAGTATGCTAAAGGATAATAACAAGTAACTGATTAACATCTAGGCTTACGCTTTAACAAAATGACTTCTAGAATAAAGCCTGTAATTATCGGCGAACTTGATGTGCTGAACCACGAAGCCTCTGCCAGTTGCTCGATACTGTAGATAAAAATAAAGAATGAACCCTATTTGGAAAATTTTTACAAGACAAAAAAAAGAAGAAAAAGAGAAGTTATATTCATCGCCATTACCTTTGCACCACCGTGAAGGATAGTACGTCCAAAGTAATGAGTTCTTGTGCCGAGAGAAAATGTGAAAAAGACGGAACACAGCTGAAATTGCATTGTAATAAAGCTGAAAATAGCCTGTGACATGAAAAACATTATGCTTTAGGAAACTTCGGCTAAAGAGTATGCATTTTCAAAGCTATTTGTGGCCAGAAAGAAATTACATATCATATGAGAGTAATAAAAGACATGAACACTAAGGATTTAACTATTTAGTCCAAAAGAAAAACATAAAGAATTGATCAACCAACCTTCAGCAGCCCAAGTTCAAGTATGAAACCCATAACCATAGGGACGGCAGTAAAGACTCCAATCTGGACTAAAAATTGTGCATTTAGCGCAGCATCCAATGCAGTGTTACCGGACAATTTGGCTACTCTTGAGATGGCAATATCAGCACCAGAAAAGGCCTGAAAATTAACAAGAAGTAAATGATATGGAAGCATGTAAAGTGAGTAAACAAATAGAAGATAACAGAAAGGAAAGAAGTCCATAATTTAACCACGTTGCAAGAATAAAGTAACAATGTCTTTTCCCCAGAATGTTATCCATATAAAAGGTCAATCAACCAAAGTTCGAAGCCCACATGAATGTGAAAACGCCTTTGATATTCAAAAGGTAGGTCAAGTACTATGAAGGAGTACTACATATCCACTAAAGATAAATTCATAGAGCAATATAGGATTACAGAATTGTAGAATTTTAGTCGACAATAAATCATTGTCAAAATAGCATGTGATAATCTCAAATAGTTTCGCTACTCTGCACGTTTTAGAGCAGTTAGTACATCATTTCCTAATGATGAAACACTGAAAAAAATAGAAAAAGGCAAAAGGCTGCATGACATACCAGATAAACTCTTCCATATAAAAAGACGTACACAGTAAGGACGGTCATCTGCACCAAAGATAAATTTTACTACATGTGATAATGGGGGAAACAGACTTATAGAACACTAGAGACGGAAAAGTACCATTGTGCAGACATAGAATCCAACTGTTGTGAAGTAGAACGACATCATCCTAAAAAAGTCAAACAGCTGCCCAATTCTGTAGACATCCCTACTTAGAACTTGTTCTCCATTTCCACCCGCTACCTTCCCTTCGAATAGGGCAATCTGGTTGAGTCCTACATCTCTTCCTTTACCAACCTACATGGAAGAAAATGTATAGATCACGTATTCAGATCGACAAGAGATACTAGCCAAGTAAAGAAACATTAAATGCAAGCAAGTCGTTGACCTGAATGTACTCATGGTGGGTGATATTTCCCTGCCTGAGTGTCGAGTTAAATCCTGCAAAAATTATTCGTTAACTATAGGTAAAAAAACTCAGCCTTATTAAGTATATAATTTGTCTAAAGATATTACAGAGTTGAGCTCAGTCAAAAATGCTAACACTGAGAGTATTACTACGCATACCAGCATATATATCTTCACTGATGTTAATAACACGGGATGCTTTGCTGATTCCTCCGCGAGTTATATGAAATATTCTATCGAACACATCTGGGTGCCCATAGTGCATTCGAACTCTGCAAGATTGGTTTTGCACAGATTAAAACTAAGCTGTCACTAGAAACTGAAACAGAATGCTAAAACATGAACAAGCTCCACAATAAAGTGTGATTGGGCACGTTAAAGTGTGAAGCGAGCATACTCACTTAAGTGGATATGCTAGAACACGTTGACCCAAAGTCACAAAACTGGTTTCTTGATTGGACATAAACCACGCCAATGATGAAACACTGCAATATCAATTTGCCACCCATGTCAAGGAGATTAGAAAGAAAACATAGTATAATAAAAAAAAATCAAAGGAGACGACTGCAAACCTTCCCGTGAAAACATGTTCTCTAACTCCCAAAATAGTAGGACGTCGAATTCCATGTTTTCCATGAAACTCCTCAAGTAGATTTCTCATTTTGATGGCCTCCTCTAGGTAATTATCCTGCAGAACAAAATAGGAATATAGTGGATCACCGAAAACATTTGGTGAGGTGCCACAATACGAAAAGCGCCAACTTATTGCTGCTACATAATTTGGTCATAAAGTTCCCTGTTACCAATCCTTGTTATATTAAAAGATACGTGACACTAGGTAACATGATGGTCGAAAGCGGACCTTAGTAATCTAAGACAATCAATATCCATAACATGCTTGACAGTTATAGCTTAATTACAGTACGATTTTCTCACTCAAAACATATTTTTTAAAACACTAAATCTTCGTAATTTCAATATGGAATTGTGCCGAAACATGACATAGAAATGATGAAAAACCTGATTCATGTCTATGGTCTGGATGGCTTCTCCACGCGTGAAAACGATCGCATGATTTTGATTCTCAGGCTTTCCTTCTCCAAGTTTAGGATCTCCGGGGAGTTTAATTGAATAAATTTCCTGTAGCAGAAATAAAACGTATTGTGTGTTATATATCATTACCCCATATTAGGAAAATAAGAACTATTAGACCAAGGGAATCTTTTATCACCATTAGAAATATCATGTACCTGATCTTTTCCGTGTATGTCAGCCTTCACTAGCTTAGAGTAAAATTCTTTTTTCCCTTCAACTCCAACATCCTCGGAGTGTATGAAAGCGACTCGAAGGGCCTCGTATCTAGTTGCAATAGCAAAATTGAGTAATAGGATTTGGGTAAGATGTTATCAATAATAGATCACCGTTAATAATAATGCAGAGGTAATAGCAATGAGCAAATATACATCAAAACTTAAACGTCACCAACACATGAAACAAATAATTGCAAATAAAACCTTTGAAATATTTACAGGTTTTTTTATATCTGGATCTCTGTACTAATGCACAGGATAGAAGCCTAGCAGTCAACAAATAAGATGGAACATATGCAAGGTTTCAGGTCCACCAAGTATATAGACAACCGAAGAACAACCAACAAACAAATGGGAAAAACTGAAATACCATTTAGCTATTCCTATAAAATACTGAACTTCACGAGTCACGACTAAAAGAATGAGTATGACCTTGGAATTTCTAAGCAGAAACAAAGGCTTGGCAAAAAGATATTAATGCATACCTTTGCAATAAGAGTGCGATGTCAGTAGCCTCTGGTTTCTTTTGCTGTTTCTGCTGCCCGTAAATTTGGCATGACACAACATACGTAAATTTCAGGTCTGCTTGAGCTCGTGCTTCAGGTGACAATTCAAACCCTCGTGGCATATTGGTCAGGGAGACATCATCCACTATAGCAAAAAAAAAAAAAATTGCTATTACAGATCATTCCTTTCCCTTGAAGGGAATATACTGCAACTAAAAATACAAACCAAGTACCTCCCAAGCCTCGTCTTTCTAAGAAACTCTGGAGCATCAAAGCCCTTCGGTAATACATCATACCTCGTACTTTGTCCACAAAAACCAAATTAAATCAGGCACTCGAGCGAGAAAACACCGAACTTCCACATTAAAACCCAAACGTAACGAATGTAAATGTATTTAAGAAACTATTTGAGGAGTGATAGATCGTTTCTGACCAGTTCTTGCTAAAGTCTGCCCCCGAAAAGATACCCAAAACCGGAGCTCCAAAGCATCAGTTGCACTTTCTTGAAGATCTACATCCCCTGTTGAATCGGACCTGCCAATCCTCTCCAAGAAGTTCTCCCACTCATCTGAATCCAAAAAGATAGATCTCAGCTAATGACTCTACTGACTAAGGAACGACCTCACAGCCTCGAAGTAGAAGATACATACCAGGGAATATCTTCTGAAGATAAAAAAGAGTAGATATCCCATCTTCATTCTCACTTCGCAGTTCTGAAGAGCTATAGATCACTGTCTCACTGTAGTATGGGGTGAAGACACTGCTCACAGAAACATTTAAAATGTATGAATCAATTGGAGGGGAAAAATGTAAGTTAAATGTCAGGCAAGTGCTACCACACATACCTGAATGGTACCATTTCAGCAACTGGCCTTGCTTGAGGCATGTCCATAAATAAAGAATTTGTGAAAAACTCCAATCTTCTCCTTGCTTCAAGATTTTTTGGGACGTTAGCAGCGGCATCCTTCACAGTAAGAAGAAGGTGTAGCCGCTTCACCTGCTCTATCTGCAATTATAAACAATAATACTATTAGCAAAAGACCACTAAATCAGCATTTCGAAATGTTCTCTTTCTAGCTTACAATTTCTGGATCCCTAGGCCACTCTATCCTAGAAAAGAGACGCCCTTCATTTCGAGCCCGTGCTAAAATATTCCATGTATCGAGCTGCTCCCTGATGCATATATAAGTGAAACCATAATATTTTCTTCAGGACGGTTTTGGATACAAATTGGTATTTGTGTGAGCAAGTAAACTTTGCAATATACCTCAAATCATGTGAAAGAAGGTCATGCGTGACCACCTCGTAAAAGTCAAACATAGCTTTTGCAGCACCTTTTGCAAGATCTGGAGTTTCTTGTCGAATCTGGAACAGATAATTTTTTCATAGATAATGTTCAGCGAACCAAAGCAAACAAGAATAAACAACTGAAATATTAACAATGAGTAGCATAAAATTCAGCTAATCAAAAGTAGTGAAAGATATCCAGTTACAATCTGACTATCTGAGTATCAGATGTAAAAAAACTCCTAGGAAAGAGATAGATAAGAGAAATCCAGTGATAAATTGCAGTGCTTATTGACATAAGACTATTCATACCCTATGCTTAAGCCACCTACAACATATACTTTAAGAGAAGCTAATTTGGATGCAATAAGAACTCAAAAAGGGAATTCGAAGCTACCCACTAAAGTAAGAAAACTAAACAGCCTAAAATTTTCGAGTCATAGCTCTCATAGGAAAAGAAAAGAATCCAATCTTTTCTCAACAAGAAAACGCTATAAAATGCAAGACCAACGTTACACAGTAGACAAAGCCAGCAGCAAGAGAACATTAATTTTCCATGGATATATCTATGAATTTCTGAAACAAGCATTAATTCACAGAAAATTCGAGCGTTCAACAGAATTGGTTTGGTACATCCAATTTGTTTAAACCTTCTACCAAAAAAAAAGAAATACAAGTCACAGAATTAAGCAAGAGAAGACGTACCAAAAGTCCAGTTAACGCAGTAAATCTGGAAACGACCAATTGAAGCTTCTTAAGATTTAGAGTTATAGCAAGGGAACCCTCTTGTATACTGTTGCTGATCTCTTGAAAAACTCTTTCCAACCTATCACCAGAGTGAATACAGGCATAAATATAAATGTCAAATGTAAAATTCCGAAAACAATGATATGTGGTCAACAGAACATGATATTGACATATTAAACAAACATTGAAAATCAAACAAATTGAAAGACTGTACCAACGTCGCCCTTCACCATCAACCATGGAATTCAATATTTTTTCAACGCTATAATAGCACTCCTGAACTGCATACGCCATGTATTCATCGTCGCATATTTGTCTCCACAGTAAATCCTGTGTTTCTTTGCACTCCATGGCCAAATCAATGGCGACCAAAATCTGAAAAACAAAAGGAATTCAGAATAATTCTCACAGGAGAGAACAATATCAAACCTGAGCTCAGATGCAAATATTAAACAAGCTGCACCTTACTGCAGAGAAGAAACAAGGGCCACTGGACTAGTCTTAGACTCCCCGTGTTACTGGGTATTGAAAGCAAATCCATCTCCCTACAATATAAAAACTCAAACCTATGAGCTAGAGGCGTTGCACGAAATGGTTAAAAACGAGAGAACATGAAAGCAAGTAATAATTATTAACCTGTTACTGATATAATCTTCCTCTCTCAAGCTTTTTATTATCTCATTCCAAAACGGGGAAAACATTGCAGCATATGCCTTGTTCATATCTTGACCATCCTGCAAAATCAGTCGGCAAAGATCCAAGGATAAATCATTACTCTCAAAATAAAAATTCTAGAATAAACCAACGACTTAGAGTCAATAAATAAAACCTCCACAGCAGAAAAAAAAGGAATAGCCAGAAGAACAGCAGGATATCAGTCAGCGCAATGCAGAACCATCGATGAAGTAGAAAAGGGGAGTACATTTAGGGGGAAATGAAGTATTAGGAGAGAACGAAACACTAGGCGATAAATTTGCGTTTTTTTTTCGCAAGAACTACATTACCATGAAAATTACAGTAAAGCTGGAGAAAATACCATCCTATACTCTGGATACAAACTAAAGATATCAGAAATTAACCTCTGTTACAATTCACCAGTCCATAAAAACAAGATACAATTACAAGCATCACCTACTTTGATTGTCCTATTAAGCATGGAGTTACAAGCATAAGATACAAGGAATGTCCAGAGCAGCCAAAACAACCAGTTTAAAACATCTACTTTTTGGTGAATATATTATCAGTTCTCATTAACGGAAGCCCCAAAAGTCGATAAATAATGTTGAATTAGATCACTGAGACAATTTTAGACAAAGAACTAGCAATGGAAGACAATATTGCAAGATAATCCTTAAAACGACCAAGTAATGAGACAAAGAGTTTAAACTATAAACTTATTACTAACCTGAGAAACATGTTGGTCAAATGGTACTCTGAAATATACAATTACAGCAGAGATTAGGCGGCGAATGGATCCCGACAAACAGAACTTTTGAGTATACTATTAATCGCAAAATTTCTTATTTTAATTTTAAAAAACATATAAAAAACAAGCTCCAAATTATAACCTTTTCACAACAGGAGAGACGAGGTTCTGAACAAAAGCTTCTGGGAAACTCTCAAAACGCTTATGAACCATCTCAATGGAACGTATCTAAAAATAGACAAATTAAACATGGTTAGTACGGGGACCACAGCAATACTAAACAGAACACGTTATTATTAAAGAACAGTATAACATTCTAGTACCTCGCCTAGACGAGCTTTAGCTCCCATCACGCCACCAATGATTGCAGACAAGAGTGTGTACCATATATGAATATCCATAAGATATATCTGGAAATTAATACCAAATGCCACGATTAGTAACCTTTAAAGCCCACAAGTTTTTACAAACAGTTACGAAAGACAATCAGACTTAAGAGAATAAGGTAACAATGAAATCTTCGACCACTGAGTCGCTATAATTTTATGACGACGAATAAGGTAAATACTCACCGCCACAACTGGAGCCCACAAGCTAACTATGGTCAACGCATGATTGTTACCTGCCAATTTTTTAATGTCGCAGAGGCATATGTTAGCAACATTTTTAAAGACGGCAATCAGTAACAAGTTCTAGTTATATTATGGTTGATCAAATACAAATCTAATATTCTTCAGTTATAGTTCTACAGATGTTGTAGCCAATGAAGAAGGCCAAATGAGTCAAATACATGGCTCATCATATTTATTTTAAGCCAATAATCTCGATTTGAGTACCTAACCATACATGCACTTACTTTTTGAGACAATATCATGCCATGAATATTGAAACGAAGGAAGATCAATGATAGTGTTGGTGGGTTTAACGAGTGGTTTGATCTGCAACATGAAGAAAATTTAATCGTCAGTGCAATATCCTACATGCGCTTAGTTACTCCCGTTTATATGGGTGTGGTGGCACGCCCCCTTGTTTTTTAATGAGTACACTACAGGTTGCAAATGTAACTTGGAGGCCAGGACAATATGTGCAGTAGCAAAAATATATAGCAGTAAAAACATTCTTGCCTGGAGAAAGTATGCAAATGTGAACTTGGAGGCCAGGACAATCAACCAAAACCCCACATACCTGAATAATATAAGAAAAGTTTCGCATAAACCCAACTATGGAAACAAAGTTTTATACCAAATTCTTCTAAGAGCACAAATCAGTTGTAACCATCTAAAACAGCCATAAACCATACAAACAAATTTTATGCAAACTGATGACTTTTTCCAGGTGAAAAATAGCCAAATCTCCCTAAATAAACTATTTAGTCTTATATGCCAATAGTTAATCCGTATTCCAAAAACTTATTTTCAATGAAGCAAATCTATTCCAACTAGCCAATGAGTACTGATAATAAATACAATGAACTATATAGTATGAAGAGGCAGGTAGAGAAAACCTGCAATAGTCACTTATGTTCTCAAAGAGGCCACGACCAACGAAGTATCGTTCCTGAAAGAGAGAAGAGGTATCAACAATGTGCTTCATTATGCTACTTTTTCTACTATCTAAAGTCCTAATAATACCTGATATATCCACTTAAAAAACTGGAAGAAAGAGTGATCTGACATTTCTGACAGGGCATGGCATGCTGGAAGTTTGACTAAAAGTCCAAAGATGAGGCGAACAGCGGCATAACAACCCAATACAAGAATGTATAAGCGGAAGAAGAACTCATTTGGGTCTCGTTTAGTTCTTTCCTGCAGAACCTTCCTGCAATATTGGTTTCACAAAAGGTTAGATGTTCTGCAGACAAACTTTATAGTGAAGAAATAGCTCGCCTGGACAGATTGGATACGTACACGTAAAGATATACCACAAATACTGATCCCAAGCCCCACCAGAAAAACTTGATAACTACCCTGGATATAGCCATTCCTCTTGCCATGCTGTAGGCACCATACATAAGGACAACATCGAGAAGACCTGAATAAATCACAAACAAGCGATGCTCAAAAACAAGGTAGACATACATCTGACTCTCAGTTTTCTAATAGTAAGTCCAATAGAGACAGAGCCAATCAGAGAAATTTACTTTCAATGAAGTTCATTATAGCATATGTAGGCCCAGCACTGAGTAAGATCTTGAAAGTATCTAAATCGAGCTGCTCTTTTCTGAAGGCTATAATCGTCAAAGCCTGTAGATAGGAAAAAAGATAATTAAGAACCCTATCAAATTTTAGCAGAAAACTGTTCAGAATATACCACACCAACCTGGAACATAATAACCATGAAGATCCAAAGTCGGTGAAAACTTCGGAAAAGGTGAAGGTATGTCCGATGCTCAACAAAGCTGCTTTTACCAGTCTAACATTGAATTCCAGGAAAATGGATCAGTCAAAGATGTTGCAGAGACATGGAAATGTAACAAGAAGATAGAAGAAGTTGAAACATCTTTAGTGGTGAAAAATAAAATGACTCTATGCAGTGCTTTATAGCCATATTCTTTCGAGTTGAAATAGTTGGACAATTACTTTTCATCGCAGAAATTCGCTCATATAGACGTAGGCGAGAAAAAGAACTCTAAAACAACTATAACATATAACCCCCAAAACTGGACAAGCCCCACTAAGCGCAATTGTTATTCATGAATGTAAAAGTTAAACTAGAAAACATCCCACATCAACTGAAAAAATCGAAAAACAAGAGATGCCTGAAGCAAACTCACGAAAACTGAAGCCACCAAAAACAAAGTGCACACAGAAGATCAGTGGGTCAAGAAGGAACAAAACATAAATTTATGGAATATTATCCGTATGAACAAGACGCACCCTTTTCCGCCCTTTGGGCCCAGTTAAAAATCGCGACTCTAGCTTCATAGGCCAGCTTAACTCAAAGCAACCAGGTGTCCTGAGGATAATACACAGTTAAAGGAGACTCCCTGAAATGAGTTGATACTTGCAAATGTAATAGTATTAGTAAACTACAAACCAGAAGTATTCATTGAAGTCATCATAATTCCGCCATTCAGAATGCGCAGCTTTCCCATTATTGTTTCGAACAGTTTCCTACATGAATATAATTTGAAAGACAAGTTAAGAGCTTCCATGGCCATATAGCAAAACTATTAATGGAAGATACTCTCAAATCCACCTTAGAAGATCCAAAAATAGCATACTACAAATTCCTCAAAAATATAGAAAAACTCAAAAACGAAGTAGGGACGTATTTTCAGAATATAGAACCAGAAACACTTTAGATACTATGTCAAGAACCTGATTGGAAGACCTTTCAGGTTGTTCTGAAATTCAATTAAAATTATGACACTTTCCAAATGACAGCTACAAGTTTCAGTTGGTTAATTCAGCTAGGAGGTATTACGATAAGCATTATAAGTAATATGGAGGTTCAACACAGAAAATCGTAACAAGGGTTTAATTACTCTAAATATAGTGAGCTATCTTTCCAAAAGCTCTGGTTGAATGAAAGAAGTCAATCTCAAACTACCATTTTTGCCTAGCATTTGGTGTATGTACTAACATACGGCTAGATTAGACCGTCAAATTGAAAGCTGATTTGTCAAAGAAGAAAATTAAGATGCACATATATGATTGTAATAGCAGGGACTCACCGCTGACATTGCTGCATATATGGGAGAGATAACTCGCTCAAGAAATGATACAGAACCAGTCTCAGTTAAGCAACTGTCAGCACAGATAGCTTCTCCGTGATCCAATTTCGCATCCAATTCCTTGGCCATCTAACAAACAAAGGCAACTGAATGTGAAAAGTGCTATCTTTCCGGATTAAGGGTCTTCCCATTGGGTGTAAAATACAATATTACATGGGCGTTTCTAAATTGTCAGGCTGTGCTTTAACAGAAGTTAAGTGCCGAGGCGATCAGATGCTAAAGCAGTGCTGACAAAAAATTTCTTGGCTTGGTTGTGTGTGGTTTACAGGAGGAGAAAAAAAAATGAACCAGCAGAACAACGCTAACAAAAAAAACTTAAACCTAGCAATTCAGATTTTTTTCATCAGCGAAGATTACGAAAAAAAACTCATGCAAACTAAAAGACAAAACATATGTATCCTGATAACGGAAAATTGGAGTATAATCAACAGTAAGATTGTATCTTACATGGTGAAAAATATAGCAGATACACTCTGGAAGAAATCGGACATTAGCAGCTTCGCCCCAGACTAGGAAGTACAAAGAAACAAGAAACAGCTTCCTGTCCCGGTTAATGGCTTCCAACCTAATAAAAAAAGTTTCAAAATTCAATGTTGATAAATTCACATTAATTTAGCCAGCATTTTCATATCAGAACTAGACCCAAAAAATTACTTGTTGTACACAAGGCGTATCCTCAAGTATTTGCACCACTTGATGTAGTTCTCCAAAACCTTCAAGAAAACCTCATTGACTGCTTTCTCATCAATTTTCTACACGAAAAGAGTTTTAAGAAGGTGAAGATTTTAAGATTGCAATCTTTAAACCAACAGGACAATCATGACTGTTGCTCAGTAAAGGGGTATCCCACAACAGGATACTGTCTAAAGGAAGAACTCACTGGGTCATTCTGGCCAGGTATACTAAGCTGAGACTGTGCATTTGAAAGTGTAAGAACCAGATGCTCCCGTTGGTTCCTTACATTATCTCTCTGAGACAATGTTCAAGGCAAAAAATAAATGTAAGTGACAACAATCAACAACAATCAGGGAAGATTTTTGATCCAAAGATAACAGTATACCTGAAACCCAAAGATGTACTCCAATAAATCAAACATGTCTGCATCACGTTGTCCGGAAATCTCAAAATCATCAGGAAGCTTAGGGAAATGTTCAGTATATTTAATCGCCTGTACTGCACCACGGACCTAAATAAAGACAAAAGAGACTTTCCTGAGTGAGAAAAAACTTGAGAAGCTAAAAAATACTAATAAAAACGAAAATAAAAGTTTTTGCTCTTGTTTGACTCACTTCAGGGAAAACCCCAATTGCATTGGTCATGGACTGTGCTTCTAGAGGGACAATGTTGTACGGAGTTAGTTCCGCAGACAAAGTGGCATCGGCTTTTTTAATTCGCCCAAGCTAAAAACATAACAAATCAATTAGCTCATACAAGATAAGTATATAACATGCAATTTCAATGATTGATATAATGATCCTAAGAAACAATTCTAATCTTTTCATTCAGATACAGCTTCTGAACCAAAATCTTCAAACATTGAAGTTATAATGTATATCTTTTGAACGCTTGGTATCACCAAAACAGGAAGTTATTATGTACCTCCTCCCTGATAGACCTCCCAACACCATCTGGATCTGCATCTCTGCTTAGCACCTCTAACACTTCAATTAAGGCCCTCAATGTGGCAAAGACCTTCCTCATCTTCAAGATCCTATGAAAAGAGAGAGAAAAAAAAAAACACTGGTCAATCAAAGAGGAAAAGTAAGACACATCTCAGAAATCATCTCCACTATATAGAATCTCATCCATATAAGGGAACAATAACATAGGCAATAATAAGTTATCTGCATCAAACGCACATGCCAAACAAACTAATCTACAGCCAGAAAACCACTCCCAAACGAAAGAACATGCATTAACATAATGCAGGACGCATGATTCAGATTTACAAACTTTCGGTCATTTTATAGGGATAGAAACACTTCCAAATAGAAGAAAACCACAAGGATTAAGAATGCACATACTCCCCCACATTCGAAGAAAAATTTGTTCCTGATTCTCTCCATTTTTGCTCTTCCCTTTGGATATCATCCACTCTATGCCGTCTTTTATAAAGTTGGTAAAACTTCCACAGCCGTTCAATATCACGATTGCGGTCTATTGAAGCTCCATCTCTCTTGGCAAGTTTTTGCTGCAAAATTATTTAAACCCCTTTCGATTCAGAACGAGTAAGCATACTATTTGACATAAGATAAAAGCAAACAAAGCAAAAATAATTTTGCGCTTAAAATTTCAAAACAAATGGTAACTAGTGCAACGATTATACTACACACATACATTACGGATGCATTACACAGCTAAATGCATGTGATCAAAACCAATACACAGACATAATATGGTGCGACAACCATACATTTTTCTATTTGTGACAAGCAGAATTGACAAATTAGCCCGACCTATACCAATCAAGATGATGAAAAATACCTTAATCACCGACATCAAACCAGTTTTGAATTGAAGAACACCTCTACCATCACTGTTAGGGTCCAAGTTCTGTGCCATAGAGTACGCTTGCTCACATACTACATCAGAAAGAGAAAAAAAAACAGTGTCAAGAGAAATAGAGCAAAAGAGGAAACAGGGAATGCAATCAAGTTAGCTACTTAAAGTTTATTTTTATGTGCATACTGAAGAGCAAAAATGAAACCATCAGTGTTCTCACTGGGGGAACATGCAAATTTCTCCAAGAAACCACCACTGAGCAATCCAAAGGTTTAACATATATGTAGACATACACATTCCGATAGATAGTGATGGCATGAACAATCAAAATCGTGATCAATTATACCAAAAAAAATGTTAAACTCATTTTAGAAATGAGACCAGATTTTCCCCCTAAGCTGTTTTGTCCATTTCTTATCTCTTCTAATCCATTCAACAGCAAAACCTTAAACCTAAGAGTGAGATTTCGAAAACCACATATATACATATATATATCCATCATCATATTCTCTTCGTTCTCTACAGCACTAAGCAGAAACAGATGAATCCCACACCGAAAACTCAGCACGGAGAAAAACTAAACACCTCAAAAATCAAAAATCAAAAATGAAAACTTACGAATTCTGGCGACATTGGGATCCTCGGACTGAATCTCGTCAGCAGCCTGTAAGATGGCGTCGATGTTCGTAGCTCGTCCAAGTGAAGGCGGAACTGCTCCGGCAAGTCCGCTATTAACACGCTCATGGCCTTGGCCTGAACTTCTCAATTGCTCTCTTCGTAAGGTGGCTCGAACCAGCCTGTCCCAGTTACTATAAACCCTAGCCATATTCAAATCCTAAAGGAGAGGATTCAGATTTCCGAAACCAAAAGCTTGAGCCCTAATCAGCCTGAAACAGCATGGCAAAGGGAGAAGAAGACGGAGAAGAAAAATGAACACTCAGCTGCAACGCGTAAAACCGAGCTGGGCGATTCGAACCCGGATGTGGCGGTATTGTGTCGGATCTATGGCGGATTTATGAAAAAACCGAGTCGATGATTCCTTCGTAAAGTGGTTTTCCGAAAGAAAAATCAAAAAAAAAAAGAAAAATAAAGTGGATTTTAGAAAAGAAAAAGGGGGAGTATCCTGAAATTACAATATTGACCTTTCGTGTCAAGCCGTTCCAACTTCGGCTATAACCGTCGTCGGAATCAAAACACGGCTTGACTGCTGAAAACGTCGTCGTATTTCGTACGTGAAACCGCGTGCTACTACTAGTCTGCTACCTTCGCTACACTTTCTCAGTTTGCCCATTAGAGAATCGCAGGATCAATCTCTCAGGCCCATGAATGAATACTAGTTTTAAGGCCCACGGAACTTTATTTGTTACCAAAAATATTCCAAAGAAAATGTTAAAAATCCGACCTGCCGGAATCGAACCAGCGACCTAAAGATTACAGCAACTACTACAGTCTTCCGCTCTACCAACTGAGCTAAGGTCGGATGTTAATTTAATACGTTTTATCTAGATATATTCGTTCAATATACTTAGTCCATGCATCACCTTCAATTTTTCAACGTAAAACAGATGGTTGTTATTAAAAAATTTATAAAGTGGTTAACCACTCATATTTGTACCCTAAAATCTTCATAATAATTAAAGTGTAATGCGAGATCCGTACCCTAATTTCTGAAAGTGATTAACTACGAAATGATTGACGTTAACTAATTGACTAACATATTGTATAAATAGTGATATTTTTACTGAAATAATTAGAGAGATTAATGAAAAAAAAACATGGAGAGAGAGAGAGAGAGAGAGAGAGAGAGAAAAGGATAGTTGCTGAAAAGGAGACAATGTCTGTCGAAACTCAAAGACAAGGCTAGCCCACTGTAATCTGTAGATCTCATTAATATCCAATGAAATCGTTTCTACGTGGAACTTCGAAATCCCTTTAGTTTTTTGTTTGTTTTCTTCGATAGTAATTGTAAACTTTTAGTATTGTCGACACATTCAACGTTCCGAATGCTTATAGTAATGATCTCCCACTAACTCTATACGATGAACTCTACAAACTATACAGTGAGAACTTTGGAGATGAGATCTACAATATATATGTTTCAAGTTTGATGCTCAGGTTTTTTCTTTACTAAACTGCATGCAATCTATTGTACATTGATTTAAGTGTCACTATTGATCTATAAACGAGCATATCTAAGGTCACATATGCAACTATTTATCTACAGAAACTTTCGTACAATCTTCAAACATATCAGTATTACGTAAGTTTAATCTATTTTTTTTCATAGACAAAAGCCAAGAATTAATAATTAAATGTGTCAACATTATTATAAAATACCAAGGAAGGAAAAGAGAAGAATGGGTCAGTAATGTTTTGTGGGCTATTATTTTAGAGGATTGACGAATGTCTAGTGTTTTCAATCGTCTTGTACGCATCTACCAAAATTCGGATAGTATGCCCCTTCTCATTGTTTAGTCGTATTCATCCTTTAATTTATTTTCTTTTTTTGGCAGCAATCCATTTTCTTGTATATATATATATAAGAATACCCAAAAATACTACAACAAGAGAAAGAAAGAAAAAAAGTCAATTGGATTTCCGGATAGATTGGATACATATCCTTAGCTATTCTGTTTTAGTTGTCGATTACAATTTTGAGATGAAAACACATATTTTATCATGATATATATATATATATATATATAAGGATATAATAAGTGGCTAAGAATGAGTGAATAAAACATACATTATTTGTTTCAAACTATATCTCAATCAAATCCTTTATGATCCTTTTCCTTTATTTTTGATTGATTTAGATTTTAGAGAATGCTTTGGATTTATATGTAAGCGAATTTTATTAGTCAGACCGTGACGTTTAGATACAGGGATCACCATAAAATATACGACATGCAGTATCTACTAAAGAAGAATGATTTTGTTTTGTTAATATAAGTGGATCGAAATTATTCTGCCACCTTAAATTTTTCCTAAATACTTTTCAGCTTTTTTGGTGTGAAATGTAACTAGAAGTTACACGAGCACTATTCGACCCAAGAAAAAAAGTTGCACGAGCACTTAATCACTTGTGGGCAAGTGGCTTAGACCATTTCTACTGGTCCCAGTGTATAGGAAATTATAAATTCCTCTTTGCGGAGTTAAACAGGCTAGTGGATCCGGTTTAGTAGATCCCAATAAAAAGGTAAGTATAATTAGGTGTTGTTTTATAGAAATTAGTTTCTAAATATGTACTTTTAAAATGTAAAAGTGATCTAAAGAAGTGGATTGATTCATGCTCCTTATATATTAGTTAGGATCATTTTCAACTTTCGATGTAGGATATTATCCCTAATATGTCTTCCGAGAGATGATGGCTACTTTAGCCATTGATCTCAGTAATGTTTGGACAAGGATCGACGGACCATCTTTAGATCACATATCGATTATGGATCGGGTTGGATTGTTTGGATCGGGCTCTGATACTATATTAAGTTATATGGGTTTCCAACCTAAAATCAATTGACAATAAGTGAATTGACTCATGCTTCTTATATATTAGTTAGGATCCCTTCCAACTTCTGATGTGGGATATTATCCCTAATACTTATAAATATGGAGATCGTTCATCACTTCTATGCACAACCATTTGGAAACAACGAAAATGTGAACCTTAACACATCAAAATCACGCTCTACCCAACCGCTCTAAAAGGAGATAAACCAAACCATCCGTGCAATGTTGAATCCGTTATCACAGGCAAATGAACCATAGATTGAATCCTATGTAACAATTTGATTTCGTATATTTCAGCCATAGCTCAACCTTTTTTTTTCTCACATAGTCTATGTTTGTTGTCTCTCTATTCACCAAATGTTGCTCTTAATGTCTGTATGGTCTTAATGACATTCTCCTCCCTATGTACAGTTTTAAGTTTTTAGTATTAACCCAAAAAAAAACAATCTTATACAAATGCTGTAGAAACTGTATAATATTCTTACAGTTATTAGTACTTACCACATCCAAAAATATGCCATTTGGCGAACACACGAGAAAAGAATAGAGTTTAATGTTATGAATTTTATATTTTTCATCTTTGATCAGTTGCAAACTTTGACTTATCATTTTGGTCCTGGCATTTATTTCTTTTAAATGCATTTGAAAATATGTCGATTGTTTACCCTTATTATTTAAATGTGGAATTTTATCTGTAATTTGTTCTTTCTTGAAAATTGACCAATTATGCGTCACTTCATCATCATTATTTTGCTTACCATTTTCGCATTTTTAGGCGACAAAAAAGTAATCATACACTGAAGGCCAGGGAAAAAAAAAAGAAATTCAAGAATTGGATCGATTACGAAGATGTTTTACACTCCATTTTATTGATAATTGGTATATAAATTTCTGAGATACGTGTGATCGTAGTATGGAACATTAAAAAAAAAAATCGATTATGAGACACAGTTGACAAAACAAACAACCACATAACAATCATTAATTTTTTTAAAAATCCCAAAATTTTTCCAACCTCACTGTGATATATATCTCTTTCATGTAATTAAAATTCAAAAACTTTGGGACATTCCTCATTTTTTTTTCCTAACGCCAACATTCCGGTGTCAGAGAATGGTCGCGTTTATAATCTTTGCAATAATTGTATACCATATTATGTGTTTGAACCCATCTCATGGCTTGGTATTGCTGTCGGGTTAACCCACCAGAACGGTACGGCGAAGCTGATAGCGGATGGCACCGTGCCGGCGAGTAGGCGGTGCAACCGAGTGCTTTAAAATTGGTGTATTTGGCAGTAAAAGGTTGATATTTATAGTCGGCTTTGTATTTACCATTTTCGGTTGCCCAAGAAGAAGCGTCCCATATAGAACCATAAAGCCACATTGGTCTTAAAGGAAATGTAGCCGCACTCTTCTTTGGGTATCTTCTTATGGGAATATCATCCACTAAAAATCTGAAATTACAAATGAAAAAAGGTATTATTGTTAACAAACAACAAAAAAAACAATATTAGTTCGAAAGTTGATTTAGTTTACTAAATAAGGAATATGCCGAGATGAGATTATTTATGTTTTATATAGTAAGACTCAGAGAAAAGTGTGAGTTATTTTTATTTTTTATATAAATTAAATGCTTAAAATGGTAGGTAGATTCTGTATGTCTCATTGATGTGGTCGGACCTCATAGGCTCGAAGGACTCGTACTTATTTCTAATACTTAAAAAAAAAATAAGTTAGTAAAGCTGGCCCAAAAACGAATAACATGAGAAAATCATTAACTATTCATAAACAACAAAAATAATCAAGTATAAATTGACTAATTGTCCACCGTCGTACGGTCATTGTCTCTTTCTTGTTTGTCTCTAATTATATACCTCTCACAATCCAAATAATGCAACCCTACGGAAGATCTTTTCCATTATAAAATTTTAAGAGAACTACTTTTTGTTTAATACATGGCTCTACAAGATTCATCCACCACTAAACACTTTAGTTAATAGGGAAATTAGATTCAACTAATAATTTGTGTGTGAGAAATTTAGTAAGAAGGTGGCTTACATGATTTCTCTAGGGCTCCAAAGAATAGCATAATGGTGAAAACCCGAAGTTGGATCAAACCACAACCGAAACTTCATCTCGCGACCAATGATTTTGCCATCACCACTTCCTCTAATGTACACATTTGTCTGAAGTGTGTAAGGCTTCCCAAATGTTGTCCCCAAAAATTCTATGTCCACCTCGTCGTGGAATCCTGGATGTGCCTCACTATTTGATAGCTGTAAAATTAAAAATTATTAATTTAAATTATTTTTCATTAAATGTAATTAAAAAGTACATAATTAAGAGAAAAAAATATCTAGCTCTCACATAGAGAGACGTTATGACTCCAGCAGTGTAGCCAGGTTGGAGTTTGATGGATGCTCCAAAGTAGCCTGATCTGAATGGCTTCACTGACTTGAACCCACTTCCTATTTATATCACCCCCAAATACATTATTAGTAAAAAGAAATACAAACTTAAAATCAAATCTGAAGTATATACCACATGAAATAATTAGGAGTGGAGTTGAATTATCTATCACCTGAGGTTTTATCAAGCCAGATGGTGAGGTCATTTTGGTCCATTCTCTGATGCTGAGGACCCCAAAGATTATTAAAACCTTTGTAGAAGCTCAAGGAGCCAACCTTGGAGCTTGGCCAGTAACCAGGTGATGGTGGCCAATAAGCATTCACTGAGGAGGATCCTAATAACACCAACAAGTGGAAGATTGGGAGAAGAGAGATCAGAGAGTTACCCATTTTTTTTTGGTTTTTCTTCTTTTGTGTGAAGTGGAGAGAAGAAGAGTGGAGTATATAAATGCAGAGAGAGAGAGGTGATGTGGGGATGGATGGACATGAGTATGGCATATATTATAAGCGTTTATGATGGAAATTGGAAATGAAATGGGTCCTCACTATTTTTGGACCCACTCACAAAAAATACATAATGAAAATGGGTGGTCCACTCACCTAAGACTTAAACGGTCTAAAAATATATAACATCACTAGCATTATTACGTTGCTCTCTCGTGAGGGTGTATACTTACATGCTATAAATTTATGGAAAATCTTAGGTTAAGATCACATTCACATAAATTGACTGATGCAAAAAAAAAGTGGTTTCATCACCGATTGAGATGGCCCCTGCATTTCATAATCTTCAAAATCCACCACCAAATTTATATCTCTCTTTTTTTTGTTTTTATATCTTTTTTTCCCCCTCTTTCTCTCTGGCTAGTGGCTATGATAATAATATATATACATTACAAGATGAAGTGATGCTGTGGAAATCTATTAAATTTAAGGTAATGCGCAAGGAGAAGAAAAGATGATTGAATCCCCAACTAAAAGAAAAACATGAACTTTCATTAACCATTTAATAACCAAAAAAAAAAATCGTTACTTAATGTAATTATTAAGATTTCTTTGTCTTCGAAACCGCAAAGTGGCGGTGATGCATGTTTGAAATAACCTATTTCTTCATAACAACTCTAAATCGCATGTGTGTAGCCTTTATACAAGAGATATAAAGCGGAGTGTTGGATGGGACATTTTTGACTTGATCGAGCTTTGTAGAGAAAGATTCGCATCTAGCAGTATACGTTGAAACAATAATACATCCTTTAATCTGTGATGATTTGATCGAGTATAGCGCATATGAGCTCTGTTTTTCTTTTATTTATTCTAAATGTAGCATGAACTCGTGGTACACTTGAGTTCAATGGAAAACATGAATTTTTCGTTAAAATGTACACGTGGAACGGTGGAAGTGATGTTACAATGTGGACATCCACACTTATTCAGCATAATTCACACTTGCTTTGTTACCAAATCGCAAACTTGCATCAGTTTTGCTTTCCTTCAAGTTACATCATAGTTTGATGGTAAATTATTTTTCTAAAGCTTGTGCGCATATACTGTAGTAATAAAAAGAATTATTATGATAGATCCAAGGAAATGGTAGCTGGCTAGATGCGTGTTTCATAAAAGTGTATATAAATGCATTCATTGGATATCTCTCTATACATAAACAATGCTTCATTATTGTACTTGTATTTCTCAATTCTATTTACTATCTGATACTATTAATTTTTTTTATGAGATCAAATCTGGACAAAAGGTACGGCGACTATGGTAAATAACTAAATACTGGATTATTTTCTTTTTGAATTCAGTGAAATAACATTTTTTTTTAATCTATTTTGTGCGTTTTTCATTTTTTAAGAATCATGAATATTCATTCTTAAAATCTGTCTGGCAAGTGATAATACTCTTAGACTTAAATTTCCTAAATTCGACCCACCAAATAATAAAAAAATTTGTTGTTTTTTCGCAAAATTTATTTTTATATTCATTCAAAAATTTAGCTTATAACGAAGTCAAAATATACGACATGATTTTGTTTTTAGACTATAAATTAAACATACTTTTTTACCCATAATGTTATACTATTAAATATGCATATATGTCAAATATTACACATAACGCAAAATTTATACTATTAAATATGCATAATATGTCAAAAATTACACATAACGCAAAAAAAAATCGTAAAATTTATTTTTATATTTATTCAAAAACTTAACTTATAACAAAGTCAAAATATACGACATGATTTTGTTTTTAGACTATAAATTAAACATTTATTTTTATCTATAACGTTATACTATTTTTTTTGTCAAAGACGTTATACTATTAAATATGCATAATATGTCAAATATTACACATAAGTTAAATTTCTTAAGTTCGACCCACCAAATGATAGAAAATTTTGTTCTTTTCGTAAAATTTATTTTTATATTCATTCAAAAACTTAACTTATAACGAAGTTAAAATATACGACATGATATAATTTTGTTTTTAGATTATGAATTAAACATACGTTTTTATCCATAACGTTATACTATTAAATATGCATAATATGTCAAATATTACACATAACATCTTTCTTCAACAATGTCAATTGTCAACAACTAATAATCATTTTGGACAAAAGTCATTTCCAATTTTACGATACATGACTTTATTAACTTACCCAAAAGAGTTTAGGGAATTAAACAGTTGGATTAAATAATCAATTATCGTGATTAATTGTTTTAACCTGATGATCATTGTAAGAATCATATACATCCGCTTTATCGAGATGATATGTAGGGTCATCTTTGCCAAAATCTTTTTCTTTTTGTTTTGCACGATATATGAAGCGAACCTTAAAACATTGCCTTCAGATCTCAAAATATCGACTCCGATTAATTGATGTTTCTAAAGGGGCATGCTTTTTACGTGAAGTGGTACAAAATGTATTTTCTTACATAAATATTATTCTAGCTGTTCAATAGCCAATATTAGTGATTAAATTTATAACAGTTCAATCAGAATATTTTTTTGCTAATTTACTACTGTTAAGGAATTTTAACATGTTAAGGATCTTTTATGTCGACTTTAAAGTTTGATTTATATCACTATATGAATAACGTATATCACTCAATTGACTCAACTTATAATATACTTAGATATAAACTCAGGTACCAAATACCTTTACAAATTACAAATTACAAATTACAAATGAAAACGCTAATTGTTCAGTGACTTTATAAGAAAACTTTGAAACATTTTCTTCTTGTGGTCCTGAAATATTTGAGTGAAATTCAAATACTTTTTAGAATTTATTACATAGCTGTTATTTAAAATTCTTTGTAGCAAAAGACTATACATGAATGTAAAAGCACTAGATTACTATCGATTACGTAATTATATTACGTTCGTATGAAATTTTTGGGAGATAATATATTGTATATATTAGTGTTACGTATAATTATGAGTACTTCCGACCCTCTTTTGTCCTTCTGTCCTACTACTACTTGGTAGAAATTCTAATTTTCTATATACTTTAGAAAAAAAAAAATTGATCAGATGTCCCCGAAAGGACAATGCTAATTCAATTATATTCGATAATATAATTTGAAAAATAAATGAATGATTATTATTATTGAAAAAATGGAAATACAAGCTTTCACTATTTTTGTCGGTAACGGTGGTAGGAGTCCTGATGATCGACGGTTGCGGGACCCTTCTGACCGACAAAAAATTCATTAATTCACTAGCCATAAACCAACTTCGAATATTTTTGTTCAACAAAACCAACTGCGTAATTAATTTTGCTTATTTGAATTTAATAATTTCGTATCCAGTCATTTTAGCTTTTCATTGTAATATTAGTAATTTTTTCCGTGCATGTATTTCATTGCTTCTTTACTTTTAGGATGCGTAAGCTAAAAAAAAAACAACATCTTAATGCATTTTATGACTAGACCTACTTATAATTGAGTTTGATCATAGATTCATAATTAAACAAATTACTGCAGAGATATTGGTTTAGAATATCGACTGTATTTTTTCTAAAAGATCATGCATGTTAATAAACTGTAGATTACTAAATAGTTTTAGAAAGAAAAAAAAATTACGCTACGTACATTCCTCCGAACGTTCACTGGATTTGATTATTGGAATGTATATTACATTCTGTCGGCCGCCAAAAAAGTAGTGTAAATATATAAAAAAAAAGAATTTTCAAAAAAAACATATATAATACTAGTAACAAAAAAAACTGATTTTCTTCGGCTGTGACCAAGATCCAAAGTGAATACAAGTTTTGCAAATATCGTAAATTCAAAAAAAAATCGGTTCCAACTCCAATTCCAACAGCGTACATATGCAGCGATACTCGGCGAAGGTTTCTACTTCACGGACAAGACATGCGTCAAAGGTTATCACCCACACAACTCAAAGTTTGTCACACAGTTTTTTTTTTTGTGTGTGGAGAAAATACTATTACATAAGTTAATAGCCCATATCACGTCAGATTAGAGGCACCCTGAAAAAGGAAAAAGGAGAATCTAATCATTCTTAAGGTTCCAAGCTTGAGAAAGGCTATAACTCAATTCAGGCGCCTTGAAAACCTTTCAAGGGCTATTTGTAAGGTGATTACTTTTCTTTTTAGCTGGTTACAAGATAAAGTAAGGTGATCACTTGCTTTGAAAATATTTATATTTTGGCTCATTCTGCAAGTAGCATGCATGCATAATTCACTTAACTCACCAACTAAATGTCTATAAGGAGAAGACGGTTAAGGACGAGACGTATACGACAACCGTTCACATGCGGACCAAATTTGTTGGTATAGTTTATTTTTCCACCCAATGTCCAATCCTGATTTAAATTATTTTTTGCACTGTATATAGGTTTTTAATTGGTAAACATTAGGAGAAATCTATAAAAATGAAGGAAAATTAATAAATGAAATATGAACGGCATACTTTGTTTCTTTATTGTATTTTTTTGTTTAGTACATAGTGGAGAAAACATATTCTTTTCAAACTTGATTATTATTTTCTTTTCAAATCTGTTTAATTTTCATTGCTTTTAGTTGAAAGAGAATATATATGGTTAAATGAAATATGAACGGCATAATTTGTTTCTTTATTGTACTTTTTGTTTAGTATATAGTGAAGAAACATATTCTTTTCAAACTTGATTATTAATTTATTTTCAAATCTGTTTAATTTACATTGTTTTTTAGTTGAAAGAGAATATACATAGTTAAATTTCAACGACAGAAAGAAAAGAAGAATGCTTCATTCAACATTTTTTCTTCTATTGGCACCTTTGACAAAACTGACGGGAATTGATTGATCTAATTGCTTTAAATATTATAGTTTCACTTCCTGCAGCTTGAGTGAGTTTGAATTCCCATTGCATCAATTGCCAAAAGAACATTCTGGTTTGTCATAAGTTAGGGAAAAAAAGGTTCATTACGCTCACTTTCTATGTCTTAAATCAATAGTGAGCAAAAGCACAAACTTGCATTCCGATCTTGTTTTCATGTTTAATGTCTTGTGTTTACAAGTAAAATCTTAAACTAATTAGAAGAAATATTTTTAAAAATAGAGGTTAGTTCCTAAAATAATTAGGCGTATATTTATAATCTTATTGATTTATATGAATACTAAAATTCTACGTTGCATGAAAATCACGATAGGCTATTTGAAAAGTCCCTAATTCAGTCTTAATGTTAAGGAAACGGTGTGTATTACGCAGATTGGTGATGTAAAACCCAAACAATATATCAACACAGGTATGAGGGTGCAACATGAACTTCATGCGTTTTACGAAAAAAATACATGAACTTCATGCATAACTCATATGTAAAACAGTATGACTTTTTCACGTACACATATATAGTTAGCTAGCTAGTCTATAAACCTGATACTTTAACAAATGATAGTATAATTTATGAAAGTAAAATAAATCTAACTGTTATAATTATACTTATCTTGTAACAAAAGGTTTTAAGCTTTTGGTATTCCCAGGGAATCTCGATAATGTCGCTCCAAAATTATAATTATTATAACAATAAATTATGTCGATTGTAACCATTCTGATATCGAACGAATCCATAACTCTCTTCCAATTCTGCTTTTATTTTCATTGTCGTTTAGAGGTTTATAATATTTTTGTTTTCAGAATATAGTACATTTGTGTTTCGCAATTTTATAAACACGCGCACCTTTTATGAGTGGTATTCATAAATTTTGTAAGTCTTGATTTCTCCATTTTCATGTGTTTTGTTGCCTTTACAACTCTTAATATCTTTTCTATTAATTGGTTCTTGTTATGTTATAGGAGTTTTAGAGTGTTTTTTTTCCTTTCTATTTGTGTTCGTTTAGATGTTTGAGAGTGACTTAAATCAAAGGAGATGTATAGAAGTTGAAAGAAGAGATCAAAAATACATTTTTAAAAATGCAAAACAAGTAAAATGTTGATATAAAATCAAGAAGATGTGTTTGAAATATCGTATTGTATATGAAGGCCTTTTTGATCTTATAAGAAGCTCAACTTTGTTCCAATAACGATTCAACCGAATAATTAAACAAAATAGATAAATTGACTTAGCTTCTTTTGATGGTTTCAGTTCATGTTAATTTGACATTTAAGGAATATTTAACCAAGTAATAGTTAACAAACTGTATTGATTAGGCCACAACGAGAATGAATATTTGCAACAATAAATAATCATATAGATAGAGATATTTGTAGATACAACGGTAACCACTATAAATAGTGACAAATAAGGTTATGTGGACGTGGTAAACCCAAAAAGAAGAAAGGTCATGTGGACGTGTGAGAGTGTACATATGTCCCTATTTTGTTTTTAGATTTTAAATTGAACTATACACTAATACTTATTCAATAATTATACGGTATTTATTAAAGTATGGTGTGTAGCGTACGTGGGACTCTGAGAGTGTCTTGATTTACATATATTATATAAACATATACTAGAAGAATCATTTGGATATCCACATGTTAGTTTTCAAAATAATTTATGAGAGTTTTGGATGCTTGCACCACAATACATGCTACACGACAAAACAATGAGTTGAGTGATCGATGATGGCTTTCTAATCAAATTTCTTTCTCATTTTATTTTTATTTGTAACTACATTTAAATATTCTTTTCATATTTTTCCTTTGTAATTCTGACTTTTGGATACCAAAAAGGATAGATCTGAAATAGAAACTCCAAGCAGCTACGCCTACATGTAATGATTAGTAGAGGGAAAACAATATATCACAAACATTCACACACGTCCAACAGATGTTTAGCTGTAAGATAAATAAATTATAAATTTATAATGATCACAAATTAGACAGAGATAATCTAATCTGAGATTTTTGGACGAACTCTACACACGAGCCATTTCGGTCGCATTCAATTCGATTGACTTTTCAACCAACGGTGTATCCTTTCTCTTTTTTTTCTCACCTCATGTTTCGTGAGATTATGCCGTAGGTAATTTATCAGATCTGATGGATTCGATCCAGCGTATGTATGATGAGTATACTCTGGATGATCATACAGATACTAATCATATGTTCCTATTATCATATACATATGATGACTATAGGAAATTGATTAATACGAAAAAGATGATCATTCGAAGATACGATGTCGTATCTTCTACTTTTTGTTGTAGTAAACCTTTCTTTGAGCCTTGTTGTAGAATGGAATATGATTTAACTTAAAATCAATTATTAAGTAAAGTGGACTTACAATGCTCTCAAATAAATAGCAGCTATAAGTTATAACATAAATCATGGAGCGTAACAGTAACACTAATTAATAAAAATAGAGGATCGATGTGCATGGGCATAATAACAATAGTTTTAGTAAACTACAATAGGTGAAATATTGAATCAATTAGGTTAAACCGTTTGTGTGTGAGTGTCTGATTGAAAATCAAACAAAGTAAACCGCAAACCCAAACTAAACTACAGCTAGCAGGGGATAATCTCACATGAGCTGGATTTGGCACTTAGATCACGAAGGTGATTGATGAGTCGCGGTTTCTCCTTCTCAACAGCATCAAGTTCAACTTTCATCACTTGAAGAAACTGCATTTGGCCCAAAAAGCAGTCCAGTTGTCTAAATTCACTACAACTTCCTCTAAACCGACATATCTCCAACACCTTCACTTTGTTTATATCAACGTCGACTTCCTCATCTGGTGCACAGTGCAAGCCCTAGAGAAAGAACCACAAATAATCACAAATACATAAGAGTAAACTAGCAGTGTGCATAAATTCTCTGCTTAATTATTAAAAGTTTAAATTGAGAGTTTAGATGCTACACACACGCACCTTGAGGACCAGAGTTTCTAGCTTTGGAGATTTGTTGAGCAAACGAGAAAGCACTTTCCAACCTTCTTTTTTATAACTCTCGAAAGAAAGCTTAACAAGGTTTGTAAAACAAGGTACTCTCACACAGGCTGCATCCATAACCTGAAACACACACCCAAAAAAAAAAACTAGTGGTCATGATCAGACAAAAAGGGAAGACGACAGTGTATAGCAGGCAAAGAGACAAACCTCAACAGTAGCAGAAGACAGTGACAGGGTCTTAACGTTGCATATCCACTTAATGACCGTAGATGGGTCTCTGTGAACAATATTATATCTCCGGTAGTGTTGGATATCTAGTTTGGCTTCGAGAAGGGAGTTCAAGAAATTACAAGTTGAATCACACGAAGGAGCGATACCACCAGAGTAGTCGAAGTAAACAAGACTCGGTGTGTTGCATCTCATGATGAGAGTGTAGCCAAGAATGTTTTTGTAGATAACTGTGAGTCTCCTAAGAGTTTGGTGGGATATAGGGAACTCTTCTTTTTCACGATATCTGGAGTCCCAGTAATTTAAGCTCAATTCCTCAAGTACTGGGCAATCACGAAGCATCACAGTGTACACTTGGTAGAAAATAGGCGAATCTCCATAAAGGAAGAGACTCTTCAGCACTGGAAGAGACACTTTTGGATTAAGCCCTAAAACATCTCCAACTGCTATCCCTAATGTTAGCTTTACAAGCGTCGTGCTTTGGAAGACACTACAAGGGAGAATAGGGAAGACGCCGAGGCCTCTCAGATCAGGATCCATTGCTTCCGTACTCGTTCTAAAACGCAGGTCGAGATCCACGACACCTCGTTCCAAGGCCTTGCGTACCCATTGGTCGATAAGATTGAGACATATACGACCGTCTTGACAGTTTAGTGAGAGTTTCTTTATGGGTTTGCTACCGGAAAGTGTTTTCTCAACGAAGTCCCTGAAGCTCTGGTGAACAGATTGTGTCATCTCTCTTTTACCATCCGTGCGATAAACAAAATCCAAGTCATATAAATCGAGATGATGTTGATATGCAAAGAGATGATTCATCAATGGAAACAGATGCCTCCACCTTTTGGAGAGAAGAGACGTTGAAGCAGCTCGTTTAGTGGGAAGAAAAGACAAGATCTTTGCAAGTATCTCATCGGGAAGGGAGATGGTTGCATCTGCAGAGCCAGATTCCACGTTTTCGGTATCCCTGAGACACATAGATCCAAGCCCTAGCAGTCAAAATTAGTTAGAAACCAAACAGTTAAGTGCATATATATAATAACTCGATAGGTTTACAGAAGATAGCAATTAGGGTTTCCAAACTTTCCTAATATTCTATTTCCCTCAGATATTGGTCTTTTCGTTTCCTTTTTCTATTTTGTTTCTGTATAGCGGTTTTTTTTTTGTATTTAGGCATTTTGTTTTCTAATTTCCTTTTTGTTTCCAAATATTCTTTCCCAAAGAGAGATTTCCCTCAAATATTGGCGGATCAAGTTTTAACCCCCTCAGCTTCGGCCCGTTAAAGAACATAACCTTCCGGTGAATCAAAACCAGCCCGGTTTGGTCGTCGTAAAGTGAAATCAAAGTAAAGTATCAAACCAAACAGAAACCAAAAGGAAAACAAAAATGAGAAATCCAAGAATCGAACTCGGAGGGAAGAAATTGGAATGTGGAATCTAACAACAATTACTCACTGAATTTTTGAGGAGTAATTGGAATGTGGAATCTAACAAGAAGTTGGAGTAACAAAACCATTAGAAAATAGGCTATTAATAAATGTAGAGGAGTAGAATCGTCACTGAATTTTTTTTAGCACACGAAAATTAAACAAGCTTTGCTTTGTGTAAGTTCCTATACCTATTATTTTTCGAAAATGATATAGAACTCTTGAAAATTTCTATGAAAAGATCAAATAAAATATGATACGCATCACTCAAAATTTACATATATAAAGTAACCCGCGCATATGCGCAGATAATCATCTGGTTTTATAAATTAATGCTGAAACTGAAGTCGAGGTTTATTATAAGATTTGAATTGAGGAATCTATAATGGATAACTACATAGACTTCAGACATGTAATTTCCCAAAAGGAACAAAACTTTATTCGGAATAAAATTTCCAATTTTGGTACTCAGATAACAAGCTTTACCACAATGACACGTCACGTTTATATATGCGAAGTACATTGATACTGCAAGTCGTTATGTCCCGATCACATCAAACAAACAATTATATATATATACAAATAAATAAATTTGTGGAGAAGAAGCTTTCGTCCTTTGGCACTAATTCATTTGCACTAAATCTCCTCAAACCCATCAAGGACATACTCCAAGCTCACACTCACTCGAGAAGATGATGGCATTGATGTGATGTTGTTCACATAATAATATTGCAGTTTCTTTTTTCCCTCACAACTCTCTAGTTACCTTTTGATGCTTCAGACTTTTCCTCACAACTCTCTAGTTATATCTCTATGTGATCTTCCTCTGCATGTTTGAGAATATTGATGTTTACTTTGATTTCAACAAAATTGAATTTTTCTTAACCCTTTTCTTGCAGAAAAATGTAAATTGACCGACTTAAATTAACTAAAAAAAGTAGTTGTTAAAAGAAGAAAAAAAAGTAGTTCCTATTTCTTTGCGATGAAGCAGGGCTGCCGAACAGAGAACTCTACGCGTTCCTGAATTTGTCACCGGAGGCCTCCGACTAGGAAATCAAGAAATCTTCGTCAATGGGCTCAAGCGTGTGTACCCTATGCTCGAATCTCACCTTAGTATTGCATTTGTTGGTTGATCCTCATCGTTTCTGGTTATCTTGTTTCTACTTTTGATATTGTGTATTATTGGTATCAATTTTATAGTGTTTCTCAAGGTCAGTGCCCTTTTACATCCGATAAAGCTTCTATTCTTCCTTATAGTGTCTTTGAATTAGTAAATTTGTTTCTCAGGTGCAACTGGTTTCAGTTTATCTTCTTGTGTTTGATGTTTGAAAGCTTTTATTCTGACCAGTGTTTCTTTGTCTGTCCGTGGCCTTAAATGCATTACTTTTGATCCTTCACAGAGAAATACAATGCATTACCATGGTATTGAGCATGCTTTTTGTACCATATGCAGAGAAGAAGGACTTTTGGGTCTGTATAAAGGACTTGGTGCTACAATGGTTGGTACGCTTTGTTTGCTTTCCCTTGTTCTCTTGTGCCAAGTGTGTTGATTGTTAACTGCTTCTTTATTAGGAGAAGAAACATTGGCTTAGGTGCTAAAATATCACCAACATCAATCCCTAATGTTAGCTTTACCAGCGTCGTGTTTTTGAAGACACTACAAGGAAGAATTAGGCGTCTACTCGTTCTAAAACGCAGGTCGAGGTCCACGACACCTCGTTCCAAGGCCTTGCGTACCCATTGGTCGATAAGATCGAGACATATACGACCGTCTTGACTGTTTAGTGAGAGTTTGTTTATGGGTTTGCTACCCCAAAGTGTTTTGTCAACGAAGTCCCTGAAGCTCTGGTGAGTTTCTTGTTTCCTCTCTCTTTTACCCTCGTCGGGATAAACAACATCTGAGTCATCTAAATCGAGACGGTGTTGAGATGCAAAAGAGATGATTCATCAATGGAAACAGATCCCTCCACCTTTTGGAGAGAAGAGACGTTGAAGCAGCTCGTTTAGTGGGAAGAAAAGACAAGATCTTTGCAAGTATCCCATCCGGAAGAGAGATGAATGCATCTCCAGAGCCAGATTCCACGTTTTTGGTATCCCTCAGACACATAGATCCAATTGCCCTAGCAGTCAAAATCAGCTAGAAACCAAACAGTATATATGCATATAGGTTTTGTTTCCACTTTAAAAAGAAGAATACCAGAGTGAGTAATAATAAGGGTTTTTAAAAGTTTCCTAAGGTCCGTTGCTGAACATAACCTTCCGTTGAATGCTGGTTGGTTCTGTTAATTCAGAATCAAACCAGCCCGGTTTGGTCGTCGTAAAGTGAAATCAAAGTATCAAACCAAAAGGAAATCAAGAATCGGACTCGGAGGGAACAAATGGGAATTGTTTAATCACAACAGTTGCTTTGTCACTGCTCAAACCGATCAAAGTCTACTCACCATTCTTCACCACATCCGTTACACACCGACTTTCCAGTTTTACAGACACGGCGAGAAAGTAGATGAGATGTATGGAGCCAGACAAGACAGGCTCCACGACCGGCTTTGGCTTCACTCATGAACATTCTCTTTCTCTGCTTTTTTCTAAGTTCAAAGATTGCTCATTTCGCATCAAGTCATAATGTTTTAACACCACAACCATGGATTTCTTGATTACACAAATCGAACTTACAATACAAGAGATTAATAAGAAGAAGGAAAAAAAAAAGGCAGAAAATTCAAAAAAAAAAAACATGAAAACTCAAATCTTCCGTTTGCTATCTTTCGTTCAACAGATACTTGAAATCATGGCCTTGTGTTCCAATTCCAATGGCAGCAAAAACAAATATGGGGATTTAAATCTTCTTTTCTTTCTGGTGGTATCATCTTTGCTGTTGTGTATAATAAGAACAGATCAGGTTCTGTTTTAATCGCTGGAGTATAGAAGATATGAATAAAACACAGTCTCATGAACCCACCAATGTTAGTCTGAGGAATTCTTTCAGTTTTGAGACCTTATACCCATGATGATTATCTTTAAAACGTGCAGATTCTGCTGAATCAAAATGACATTTGCTAGATTTGCTAGGTTAGGTAGTTTGGTTACAAGCATTTCTCAAAGTCCCCAAAAACCATAAAACCCGAATTCAAAGTAAACCGCAAACCCAAACTAAACTACAGCTGGGAGGGGATAATCTCACAGGAGCTGGATTTGGCACTTAAGATCAAGAAGCTGATTCATGAGTCGCGGTTTGTCCTTCTCATCAGCATCAAGTTCCACTTTCATCACTTGAAGAAACTGCATTTGGCCCAAAAAGCAGTCCACTTGTCTAAATTCACTACAACTTCCTCCAAACCCATATATCTGCAACACCTTCACTTTATTTCGATCAACGTAGACGCCTCTCTTATTTCTTACACAGCGCAGGCCCTAGAGAAATTATCAACATAGACACAGAGAGTAATTAGCACTGTGCATAAATTCTCTGCTTAACTATTAAAAAGTTTCAACTGAGAGATTAGATGTTACACACACACACCTACCTTGAGGACCAAAGTTTCTAGCTTTCGAGATTTGTGGAGAATAAGACGAAGCAATTTCCAACCTTTTATTGTATTGCTCTCGATAGAAAGCTTAACAAGGTTTGTAAAACAAGGTACTCTCACATGGGTTGCATACATAACCTGAAACACACACCCAAAAAAAAAGACTAGTGGTTGTCATGATCAGACAAAAGGGAAGAAGAGAGTGTTTAGCAGACAAAAGAGACAGACAGACCTCAACAGTATCAGAAGACAGAGAAAGGGTCTTAACGTTGCATATCCACTTAATGATCGTAGATAGCTCTCTGCGAACAACATTATATCTCCCATGGCTTTGGATATCTAGTTTGGCTTCGAGAAGGGAGTCCAAGAAATTACAAGTTGAATCACACGAAGGAGCGAATCCAGAGTAGTCGAAGTAAACAAGACTCGGTGTGTTGCATCTCATGATGCAAGAGAAGGCAAGAATGTCCTTGTGGTAAACTGTGAGTCTCCTAAGAGTTTGGTGGGATATAGGGAACTCTTTATTTTCACCATTTCTGAAGTCACTGAATAGGTAATGTAAGGACAATTCCTCAAGTATTGGACAAGCAGGAAGCATCGCAGTGTACACTCCGTGGACACTAGACGAAACTCCATGAAGAAAGAGACTCTTAAGCACTGGAAGAGACACTTCTGGATAAGGTTTTAAAAAATCACCAACATCCATCCTTAATGTTAGCTTTACCAACGTGTTTTTGAAGACACTACAAGGAAGATGAACTGGGAGAATGCCGAGGCGCTTACTCGTTCAGAAACGCAGGTCGAGATCCACGACACCTCGTTCCAAGGCCTTGCGTAACCATTGGTCGATAATGTCGCAGCTTAGAACACCGTATTGACAGTTTAGTGAGAGTTTCTTTATGGTTTTGCTGCCGGAAAGTGTTTTCTCAACGAAATTCCTGAAGCTATGGTGATGAGAAGCTATTTTCCTATTCCTGAAGCTCCAGTGAGCAGCTATTCTCCTCTCTCTTTTACCCTCGTCGGGATAAACAAGATCTGAGTCATCTAAATCGAGACGGTGTTGAGATGCAAAGAGATGATTCATCAATGGAAACAGATGCCTCCACCTTTTGGAGATAAGAGACGTTGAAGCAGCTCGTTTAGTGGGAAGAAAAGACAAGATCTTTGCAAGTATCTCGTCCGGAAGAGAGATGAATGCATCTCCAGAGCCAGATTCCACGTTTTTGGTATCCCTGAGACACATAGATCCAATTGCCCTAGCAGTCAGAATTAGCTAGAAACCAAACAGTAGGTTTTCTTTCCACGTTAAACAGAAGAAGAATACAAAAGTGAGCAATAATAATTAGGGTTTTTAAAAGTTTCCTAATTTTCTTTCCCTAACTAGAGATTTTAATGAAATGATTCAGCAAATATTGGCGGATCAAGTTTTAACCCCTCAACTTCGATCCGTTGCTGAACATAACCTTCCGTTGAATGCTGGTTGGTTCTGTTAATTCAGAATCGAACCAGCCCGGTTTGGTCGTCGTAAAGTGAAATCAAAGTATCAAACCAAAAGGAAAACAAAAATGAGAAATCAAGAATCGGACTCGGAGGGAACAAAATGGGAATGTTTAATCACAACAATTACTCTGCCACTGCTCAAACCGATCAAAGGCTACTCACCATTCTTCACCACATCCGTTACACTGACACACCGACTTTCCAGTTATACAGACACGGCGAGAAAGTAGATGAGATGTATGGAGCCAGACAGGACAGGCTCGACCACCGGCTTTGGCTTCACTCATGAACATTCTCTTTCTCTGCTTTTTTTTCTGAGTTCAAAGATTGCTCACTTCGCATCAAGTCATAATGTTTTAACACCACAACCATGGATTTCTTGATTACACAAATCGAACTTACAATACAAGAGATTAATAAGAAGAAGGAAAAAAAAAGGCAGAAAATTCAAAAAAAAAAACATGAAAACTCAAATCTTCCGTTTGCTATCTTTCGTTCACCAGATACTTGAAATCAAGGCCTTGTGTTCCAACTCCAATGGCAGCAAAAACAAATATGGGGATTTATTCAGTCTTTTGCAATAATAATGGTATAATGATAACTTCCCAGCTCTTTTTGGTTTGCTTAAGCCTTTGGCTTGAGTGGCTTGACGACCTCCCAAGTGAAATCAGGGTCGTCACGACCGAAATGGCCGTACGCAGCGGTTTTCTGGAACCTGAAGTTGCCTCCTCTCTTCAAGTCGAGGTTAATCGCCATCATTCCCGGCCTGAAGTCAAACGCTTCCTTGATCAACACGAGGATGTCCTTGTCCGGGATGGTCCCGGTCTTGTATGTGTCGACAAACACAGAGAGCGGCTCAGGGACACCAATGGCGTATGACACCTGCACGATGCAGCGGCGTGCGAGCCCCGCTGCCACCACGCTCTTTGCGGCCTGCCTGACGATGTAGGCACCGCTTCTGTCAACCTTGGTCGGGTCTTTCCCTGAGAAGGCGCCTCCACCATGAGCACCCCAACCACCGTAAGTGTCGATGATGATCTTCCTCCCCGTGAGTCCAGCGTCACCGTGAGGCCCTCCGATGACGAAACGACCAGACGGGTTCAGGTGAAAGATGGTGTTGTCATCAAGATACTTGGCAGGGATAACCGGCTTGATCACATGCTCCTTCAAGTCAGCAGCGATCTCGTCGTTGGTGACGGTTTCGTCGTGCTGAGTAGAGATGAGGACGGTGTGGACTCTGATCGGAATCATGGCTCCACCGTCGTTCTTGTACTCCACCGTGACTTGGGTCTTACCATCAGGCCTCAACCACGGGCAGGTCTTGTTCTTCCTCACTTCAGTGAGCTTGGCACCAAGCTTGGTGGCTAGGACATGGGTCAACGGCATGAGCTCCGGCGTCTCATCGGTGGCGTATCCAAACATATGTCCCTGGTCACCGGCTCCGATGTCCTCGGGCTTCTTGGTCAAGTGGCCGTGAACTCCCTGAGCAATGTCGGGGCTCTGTTGCTCAATGTTGACCAAGACATTGCATTTGTCGGCGTCAAGGCCAACATCAGCAGAGATGAAACCAATCTCCCTGCAAGTGGATCTAACGATCTTCTCGTAGTCTACTTTCGCGGAGGTTGTGATCTCACCGAACACCATCACCATGTTGGTCTTGGTGCATGTCTCACAAGCGACTTTGCTCTCAGGGTCTTGCTCTAAGCAAGCATCGAGGATTGCGTCAGAAACCTGGTCGCAGAGCTTGTCTGGGTGACCCTCATTGACGGATTCAGAGGTAAATAGGAAAGTTTCCATTTCTGTAATTACAGAAAACCAAATCCATAAGCACAACAGAATCCCAAAAAAAGCAAAGGTTTGATTTGTATAGTTTCCACCGACACAATTGAAGACGAAGAAAAACTTATTAGATATATGCAGAATGATTCGGAAACTACTCCAGATACAAATTCTAATTCCATAAATTATGATCGGGTTATGAAAAATTGAGCTACGAGATCTAAAGCATGAACTTCAATTTGTCAGATCTGTCACACCACAAACCAAGGATTCCAAATCGCGAACGTGTGATTACTTAATAATATATACAGAATGAACAGATCTAACGAAAAGAGTAACAACAATGGATCGAAGAAATTTCTCCCTCTCCCTATGAAGAAAACAAAATTTGAATCGAAGAAAACAAACCTGTTAGCGAAAGTAGAGGAATTCGAGATCTGGAGAAGAGAAATGAGAGCGAGAGAGAGAGAGAAGAGCAGAGATTTAATGAGATAAAGAGTGAGAGAAGAAGAGAGAGAGAAACTCGCCGCTTAACTCGGAGTTCGACTCGCTCTGTGTGTGTTTGCCCGCTCTTCTCGTTCTTCACCTCTCTTCGGTTTATATTGTTGGCGAAGCTGTGATCGCGTGTTTTATGGTGCACAGTGGGTATAATGGTTTTACGCCGTCGATCTCGAATGAAGAAGAAACGGACGGTGAGATGTTGCCAACTATATAATCTCACCAACCTCGCCGTCGTTGGTGGCGTTGGTGTGGGAGGTGTGGTTGGTGAGAAGAGTACCCGACATGACCCGACCCGATATCGACATCGTAATTGGATCATAGTTATAACTCCGAACCGGGTCCTTTAGAATTTTCATTATTCAAAATCAGAATAAATCTGTGACATGATGTTTTTTTTTTTCTGTCTTTTCATATTTAGGTGTTGTTAGTTGGTGATGATATTTGTTAAGAAAAGAAAAAAAAACTTATAACACGTGAAAAACCCCCAAATTCTTTAAAAATAATATCTGAGCATCCAATAAAACAAAATTTATAATAGAAAAAAAATTATAAACAAGACTCTAAAATGTTCACATCATTTTACACAAGCTTGTTGCCTCTATATATATCTTCTTTTATTAGGGACAAAACATATGAGAAGAGTCAGTCAATAACTGAGACCGAGCTGAAGGCCGAGAGCAGCATGGACGAGGAAAAGCGCCATTATCCCGCTCCCGAGGATCCCATGAACGTTCCTCAGTTCGGGTTTGTCCTGCGCCATGTTTGAAACAAAATGAGTTTCTTGATCCTAAAACTGTATAATATCATTATGGTTTTAGACCAGAAACTTCTGTAATGCCCCCTCTTTTACCTTGAACAAAGTTGGTAAGACTGTTTGAATCGTCAAGAGTGCAAGACCTATAGAACCTGTAACAGCGTGCGGGCTATACATTTGCACAAATCCACAAACCATATTTGAATACTCAGTACTAAGTTCAAAAGGAGAGGTTCATTAAAGAGTGTTCTGGTTTCAACAGAATCACTTAACGAACCAGCACAAACCCAATGGTTCTACACTTGAAGCCGAGCCTTGTGTAAGAGAAAAAAAAGGATACCTTTCGAAGATGGGTTTGTCGGAGGTAAGAAGGGATGTGATACCACCAGTTGCTCCAAGGGAGAAAAAGAAAAACATTCCGGCAAGAAGCTTCGGGTGCAGGTCTTTGGCCTTTGCCTTCTCCTCCTGACATTATCAAAAGGAAACACAACCCTCTATAAACAACGGTTCTTGTAACACTATATAGCAAGGTTAAATTGTCTTACAATGTCATCTGAATAACGAATACGGAAGCCTAGATATGTTCCATAGCCACCCATAGCGAAAAGAACCACAGCCTGAGAGAAAAACATGTGTCAAAAATCAAAAACCAATTACACATGAATGTTCACAAACAAAAGAAGAACAAGTTAATCCTCTGAAACAGGACATGCGTTATATGTCTTAAAGGAACTGGCTTTCACACAAATGGCAAGAAAAGTTAAGGAAGCATGAAATTGGTATTGGAGGAGGAAGCTACCATGTTGCCTGGATGGCCCCAATGAACAAGCCAATCAGGTAGATTCAAGGACTTTACAATCTCCACAAAGGGTCCAATGACAGATCTTACAGTTGCAGCTGCCACAAGCAGAGATACACATCATCATAATCATATGTTTCTTGTCACAAACATTCTTGGTCCAACTGTTAACAATGGAAAAGATCTGATAGAAAAGATTTGGATTTGACTTCAACAAGTGTCACAAAGCCACAGACTTTTGAGTAATAAAGCATTTACACAATCAACAAATACAAATTTCTCACAAATTAATGGTTGCTTAGTATCTATAAATATATTTGAGCTGAGAAGATGTGTGTGGGTTTACCTCCAGGGAGAGAAGCAACGAGGAGGAGAGGCAAAGGAGAGACAGATAACATCAAAGTCTCTCTAATCTCATCATCACATCTTGCTTCTTCGACCGCTTCATCTCCGTCGCCAATCGAAGAACACGCCGGAATCAACGGGATCCTTCTCCGGCGAGAGGTAGAGAGCGCGGGAAGCGGATATACATTTGGGAATCTGGAGAGACACGGAGTGGGATTGAGTAGAGGCGACGCCGGAAGTGATGGAGGAGGAGAAATGGGAGTAGAGAGAGCGGAGACTCCAGTAATGGCCGCCATTGTCTGATGGTGTGTGTTGGTAAAAACTAAAAAGTGAGGGAAGTGGTAGAGAAGGAGATAGTCTGAGGAAATGTAAGAAAGGCGAAGAAAGTGACACGACGTTACGTTAAAAACGCTGTCGTTTTTACGCCTTTTTCGCGTGGACTCAACACGCTCCCATGTCCCATTCTACATATGGATGTTTTTTTTTATTTTAACTAGACTATTAGGTGCGGGTTTTTTTTTAAATAAAATATATTTTGTTATAAAAATAAAATATGTCTATGTGAATTTCATACTTATAAAACTTTTTAAATATAATATATTTGTTGAATTCATTTTTACTATATCTAATAGGTGAAAGATACACCGATAATAGGCTCGACCGAAATGATGAACTTGGTGCCTAGGCTTGTCTAACGACTCCCTATCTAAATATTCATTGGTATATGGCGGATTTCCCAATGAGTGTGAGCATATCTACTCTCTCTCTAAGCGTCTCTAGGATGGGACAAATCAAAGGAAAATATGTATAAGGAAAGAAGAAGAGGTCAAAGTTGAGAAGAAAGGCTGAAGATCTTCCAAGCATCCCTCGGAGGCGAGAGGCTGAATATCCTCTAACGTTCCCCCAAAGGAGCGCCAACTAAGATAAGCATTCACTTCTTCTCTATCTCTTTACTATATCCCCATTAAGAGAGAGCTCCACCTCCACTCTCTCAATGGTTCATACATTTCACATTTTCTTTTGCCAAATGACAGAAGAGTATCACGATTCTTGGACGGGATATCCAAGCTATAAAGCAATCACCATCCATCCGCCTTCTTGATTATCTGTTCACTGCGGGACATAATCTAAATTTTGCATCAGAGAACTTTCGGGAGAGAAACCTATTTCCGGTCTCCCAAAGGCCCGATTCACCCACTGTGAATGTTTGCAGGACCCAAAAAATTTCTTATCCAGGGAGTATATACCGCTCAATCTTCGAAGCCTAATCTAAGAGGCTCACTTGTACTACTCGGACGAACACACACATTCCCATAAAAAATCCATAATTTTCTCACAAACAATATTATTTCACAAATATAATGATTGAGTTTTTTATATCATATATAGCTGTATAAAGCTATATTTTTATATTTTAGTTTATGGTATCAATTAATTTATAACACTATATACTATTTTTGGAGAGATCTATCAAACATAATTATGATTCTATTTTAATAATTATTACTTTTTTATTTAACTTTTAAAATACCATCAAATAGGATTATTACACACATCACGCAAATAATAGTTTATTTTCTTTTTTTTTATATTTTTTTATCGTCAAATTACAACTATATCTTATTTTTAAATAAATATCTGTTTGTTATGTAAATGGTTCATTCATCATCAAAGTTTCACGAGTATTATCATTTTTTTTTATTTTTTGCTAAAAATTGTTTTGAGAAATCCTTTTTCGTTTTTTACAATAAAAAGAAGTAGTTTTCTCTGATTTTTTTATATCTTAAATTATTTTTAGCTCAAATTCAATTTAGTTTTATTATTTAAAAATATAAATAAATAGATTTTTCATATTCCATAAAATACAGTTTTATATCTAACTAATAAAATTTATTTAATAATAATTATTTATTGGATTGTTTTAATTTTAGTTAGTCACTTGTCACTTCTAAATTAATCTAAAATGCTGATGTGTCAAGCTGCTGGAGAGGGTTATTCCCTATTCATATATATGATTTGTTGTTGAAAATCCATAGATATATTTTAAATAATATTTAGAGATTTTGAAGAATCAATTCTATAAAGTTGAGATTATGAAAATAGGATTAATATAACATCAAAGCTGATTATCTTCCGTAATTTCTCTCATTATAAAGCTTCCATAATGATCTCGTCTTTCACTAAGCTTGGACTCGGATCGAGTTACTTAGAACACTCTCACTGATTTAGAGGCTTTCCAACACTTCAATATATACGTATAGTTTTGAAACTGTTCACTCCACTACGGCTCTACGTCTACGGAATATTATACTAGTTGGCAATTACATGACAATAATTCATAATTGTAAGGGTTAACATCTTAAGGAGATTTTTAATTACACGTCTACATTCACAAGATAGGCGCCTACTTTGAGTGGAATATTATTGTATGTTACTAAAAGACCCCCTTTATCAATTATTAGTCCTCTTTAATAAAATATATTATTGTAGATATATGATTTCAACCTCTCGGTATAACCATGAAGTCACTGAAAATCTTTTCAGGTAGGGACTCCATCTCAATAATAATTACTATATAGTTTAATAATTAGTAGTACACAAATCATGAAGATGTAACAATAATAAGAACGCGAATTTAATGCATTTTTTTTTTATTAAATGTAAGAAAATTTACCTAAATCGTATACAACGAACATACAATCCACAAGTTGACAATTATTATCTCGGATGGGTGTATAAGTAGTAAGGACAAGTACTTGAAAATCCTATTTGTGACTGCATTAGCAATGTAGTTTGGTATGTGAAGTGTGCAATAATGGTATAGATAATGTGTTTAGTCTTAGAGTTTACTGATTTGATAAGTGTGTACCTCTCCAAAATAAGAAAATGAGTGTAACCAAGTCATATTTCATTTTCGGAAACCCTCTTAAATATTATTTTGAAAAGTGCTACACCAACTTACCTACCTAAATTGCTGCCCCATCAAAGCTCAATATCTTGTTGACACTGTATATGTATATGTATAATACTACGTACATGTCTTTGTATGAAAATAATAAATGATTATATTATATTTATACATATATTATTTCCCATCAGAATATATGTATGCGTGGTGGCCTCGGGATCAATCACTTTGACAATGTCTTGTGGGAAATGACTTAGTCAAACATATCACTTGGTTTTTTGGAAATTAAGCACACGTCACTTTCATGCTTTCTCTATTTTTTTGGTTTAATGTCAACTTCTCATTTTTATTTATTGCTGTTCTTTTTTCTTACTTTTTTTTTTTTAATCTTATCACTAGTCATGACCTTCGGGCTGCGGCAGTCCATGAGCTATGTCCTTCTTTTTAATTGGTAGTGCACAAAGAAAATTAATACCATGCATAAATGTTTGACTCTACATGGACCATTTTCTTCATTTATAACAGTACTTCTTACCAATATAATAATAATAATAATTAATTATCTAACTAATGAAAAAGAAGGTTATTTAGTATATACATCATATATATTTAACTAAAAAAATATGTGTAATATAATCATTACTAATCCTAAATCTGCAGAAGTAAAACTGAGACTTATGTTAGTTCTAGTATGTTTAATTCGGTTTAGTTCAATGCAAATCCCAAACCGGTAAGACATCGGTCGATCAACGGTTGTTTGGTCTATTCAAAAGACAAACACGTATGTTCAATCGAAATGGGGACGTCAAAGAAAACTTTAAACCATTTGTCCAATTTGTTTTCTTCCCACAAACCATTTGTCCAAATTCTTAAAATAAATAAATGAGCATTATAGCACTTGGTTAATTAAAATAATTAATTTCGTATTCACTAATTGTTTTTGTTCTTTTTAAGTTTTTCCTCCACTTTCACAACTTAGACCAGCTGTTCTTGTTTTGCTTTGGTGACCAAAAGAAACACACACGTCTATAATTTATATACACTGTTTATCTCTCTTTCTCTACATAAATATATATACTTATAATAATAATGAAGTTAATCCACATGGGGAGATGAGGAAAAGCAAAATGGAAAGAAAATAGAAAATATGTTTTTCATTGACTTGGGCGTTTCCAATACATAGAGCAATAAATAGATGTCTTTATCTTCGATAATTACAGAACCATAAAACACTTTTTCTTCCTCTTCTTCTCTTTCAAAAAACAAAACAAAGACTCCTCAAGAAAAACACATAGATTAGCTAAGGACCAAGAAGGATCAGAGAGAGTGAGATGGGGAGGGCTCCATGTTGTGACAAGGCAAATGTGAAGAGAGGTCCATGGTCTCCTGAAGAAGATGCAAAGCTTAAAGATTACATAGAGAATCAAGGCACTGGTGGCAACTGGATTTCTCTCCCTCACAAAGCTGGTATTTATTTTTTACATCTTATGATTCGAATGGACTAATTTTCTTGGATTTTTTTTCTTATGGGTTTTCTTTGGATTTTTGTTTCCTTTGATGGGTCTTGATTTTTTTTCTTTTAATTCACTTATAATATGATGAATGAAGGTTTAAAGAGATGTGGGAAGAGTTGCAGACTGAGATGGTTGAACTATTTGAGACCAAACATAAGACATGGAGATTTCACTGAGGAAGAAGACAATATTATATTCAGCCTCTATGCCTCCATTGGAAGCAGGTACAGAAAGTTCATCACCTTCTATTACTAAATCTGATATGATTCCAATATTTAATCTTGGTCATCGTATATCTGATCTTAGAGATGTAAAAATAGATAACTCTTGTTTAAATCATGGGAAAGAAATGGAGAAAGTGGGTATCAAAAAAACAAGAGACTTTGCATGTTTTAAGGAAGATTCAATCTCATTTTTTTTCCTTAACAAAAGATAATTGATATTAGCTTTTACATATACCCACCTTTTGTGCAGTATAATTGCATCCTTTTGTGGGTATATTCTTTAGTTCATAAATTAGGAAAACAAATGGGAGCAAATCCACTTTGACAATTATTGGAGAATTATGCTTACAAATTTGATTTTTTATTTATTTATTTAACTATTGTGCTTACATAAAGGAGTAAATCATGTTGAAAATGCAGGTGGTCAGTAATAGCAGCTCACTTGCATGGTAGGACTGATAATGACATCAAGAACTATTGGAACACTAAGCTCAAGAAGAAGCTCATTGCCACCATGGCTCCTCCGCCACCTCATCATCTCTTAGCCATTGCTCCATCATCACCATCATCACCATCATCATCATCACATTACAACATGATCAATAGTCTTCTTCCGTATAACCCATCAATATCAACAAACCAGCTGATCACACCTCACCAGGAAGGGATGATGATGACAATGATGGGCCAAAAACAACAACTATTATACCAAGAAGACATGGGCAGTCTGGTAAATTCTCCAAACAGCAATAAGCTCATAATGAACCATCAAGAATACAGCCAGAAGCAAAGTACGAACAAGGGAATAATGTTGTTGAGTGATGTAAGAAGTGGGTCAAGTACAACGAGTACAGTAACAAGAGTGAAGATGGAACATGATGATCATGATCATGATCATCATGAAGAGGAGGAGAGATCAATAGAAGATTATGGAATGGAGGAGATCAAGCAATTAATAAGTAGTAGCTGTACGAGTAGTAGTAGCAATAGCTTGTGGTTTGATGAAAACAAGGGAGAGGATAAGTTCATGTCGTACTATTGATCTCTCTTACCAACTTTGATTCAGTATCCATACACTCTCTCAAAACTAAATAAATGAATTATTAAAACGTTTCTTTTAAGAGGAGTGTAAAATGTTAATTCATGAGTTTAATTTGATATGTTATTATGAATGAGAACTCTATATTTTGTTGAACCTACATAAAACTGTTATGTAATTTTTTCAGTGATCAATTGTTTTATGTCTACCATGAAAAGAACGATACAAAATCTAATCATATCATAATAATGTGACATCATTTTCATGTTAAATTATTGCCTCTTTTGTACTATTTATTCTTTGAAATCTTTTAAAATTTAGCTTTGAATTTTCTTACAAAAATGAACTTAATTATAATGAACCATATTAAAAAGTTGATATAAAGTCACAAGTTTGACAGAAACATAAAAGAACCTCGTTTAAATTTAAAATATATAAAAACATATTTAATTAAAAACATGATTGTTTGTCCGTCGTACTTGGTTCATCACCACGACAACACTATTATCATCGTCGTTAATTTAAGGGATGTCAGTCTCAAGGTTAACTGGTTCCAGATTAATGATCAACAGTACGTCTCCATATGTCAAATTGGTTGCTTACCAAATAACTACCTTTACAGAGTCAATAAAACAACTTTATTAGATAAAAAATCATCAAAAACTTATAGCAAATAATGCTGCTGCTATTTACCGATAACTATCCACATGAATTCAATATAATGACTCCAAAAAAAAAAAAACTTCAAATAATTTCCAGCTAGGTTTCTGCCAAATCTGTAGCATACTAACAAGAGATTTACGAAAGTCTGTGAGCAGTTGTGCACACCACATTAGATTATTTATGATAATGTATATGTTAAGTATGTCATAATTATGACAGACTATTCAGTGTTACTAGTAAACTCTGCAGATAGTGGGACATACTTTAGAAAAACTTAAATGAATTGTGCTACTAGTTTTGATATAATAGCCTGCCACAACTCTGATAGACTAAAAACAACAACACACTTAAACTAGTATCTTATCATTTTGGTAAACTTGGGCTAAACTTTATATATGAAAATCTTTAAGTAATTGTGCATACTACTTGGGTCTAATTTACCATTCTAGTCTACCATATTTCTGGCAAATATTCGAGTATAAGGGAACACATATAACTAGAACGTTATTTTGGAATTATATGATCGATCAAGTCACAAGTAGATTTGTTGACGGATTAAACAAAATTTGAATGAGTTATCCTAAACTATTCCTAGAATACCTAATTATGTTCTTGGGGGTTTCTTAAATTAATTTGAAGGTACATTGGATTAACTAAATTAATTTATAGGAAAATTATAACATTATGATAACATATTTGGAATATTAACAGAGTATTTGGTATGCTAGTTTTGTATTGTTCTCCTCACCCTCATTAGGGAATTTCAGAATCTTATCAATAAACAGAAAATAAAACACATGCATATACCCACTTGCATTTCTTTTATTTTATCTTCTGCTCTTTGCTTATACTGATCATAGTTAATCAACCAATCATTGATCAAAGACCAATTATATTATATATCTGTTATATAATCATATCCACCACCAAATGTTGAGAGACAGGGAATTTCAAAATGATATGGATGATGAAAACATATCCTAATTACATTATTCTTAAATTTTTAAATTGTCGACTTTATAAAGTCACTCAATAATGTTTTGCCATCGAAACTGGTCAAAAATATCTTGTATAATGGCTGGTATTAAAATTTATCCGGAAATATTTCGAATCTATACTATTCGGCCTCGTCGATAAAGTATAAATTAAGGACGTTCACAACAAATATTTCTGGTATTTTATTTCTCAATTTATTTTGTGTCGATTGTTTCTTTTGTTAAAAAATGAAGAAAATAAAACTCTGAAAATGATCATAATGGAATTCGTTTACAAAGAGATAGCTACTGAAGCTCAAATTGAAGCTGAGATGGAAGGAAAAAAAAAAGTAAAATCCTAGTAAATACAGGAACAAGGTTTAGTAAGAAAACATATTACAGTATAGAGTTTATGCTGCAAGTTAAAATGATTGATATGCATCAAGAGGTTAATATTCGATCACACACTATAACAGATTTCAAAACCTAAGTATAAGCTACCTTTTATCCAATTGATGAGATGAAGATCCATACTAAGTTCAGAACCAAACCCATCAACTAAATAGATGAATATAATTAGGGGAATTTATACCAAATGTAATGGTTCTGTACAATGAATGTTATTATATAAACACTTTTTGTGAGTTAGAAGAACCCATTATTGTAGAAACTTCAGATTCACAAGAAATCCCATTGCCAATAAACTTTGTCAACGATGCCTCCGCCAGTTCGAACCGCAAGGTGAAGCCTTTCTGCAGCCGGAGGAACACCCCATAGATATGGAACTGCCACCGTCATTGTGAGCTTCTCTTGTAAACCTCCTTTGCTCTCTTTCTCTGCAGCAACAACCTTCAACACAAAGTCAAGGAGTTAATAAAACTTTGAGTTGAGAAAGAATGTTAGGATAGAGAGAGAGAGAGAGAGAGACTCCAACTCAAACCTCTCCACCATACTCTAAGACAGTGTCTTCAACAACATCACTAAGCATCTCAACGGAACGGCAGAAGCCATAGATACAGAGTCTTCTTCCCATATCAAGTCCCTGACATTTTCAAAACAGTGCACTAACCATACTTTTGTGTGTTTAGTGTTTAACAAACCCAAAAAAAAAGGCAAGAGTTGCATACGTTTGTAGCTGCGATGTCGAAAAGAGCTCCGAGGCAGAGACCTTGTGCAGGATCCATGTAGGAACTTTCTTGAAACTTTGGAAGTTTCTCTGGTGATTTGGATCTCCCATGTTTCTTCTGTTCACAAACCATAATGATTCATTCTCGCCGGAGATGATTGATTACATAAAGAGCAAAACGACACAACTCTTAGGCTATGTATGATACAGTGACACACACAGTCTCATCCTATAAACCTTAATACCGGTTCTATATTCTGACTAACACTTCTTCTTTTTTAAACTTGTGAGAAGTTTCAGACAAGAACACAAGCAAAAATTAAAGCCAAGGAAATGAAAATTGCATACATTGATGCGGCGAGGAACCATATTGCCTCCAATCTGAATCAGCCCATCAGAGGTGAAAAGTGTAATTCTCTCTTCAGGAACCCATTCAATGGCTGTACAAATATAAATGCAACCGTTTGAATCAGACAATATTCCATTAGTGATCACAATTCACAAGTCCAAAGCTCAAGCCTTTCTCACTTATGTCACACCAAGAAGCTACAAAGGTTTTGATTACACAAATCAAGAATGATCAACAAACATCCTATGGATCAAATTATACGCATGATTGAAATCAGATCACGGAGAAGAAACGAGTACGAAGAAGATCACCGTAATTCCGACTTGGATAATCTCGAATTTTTAAACCCGATCGCCTCCGAAAATATCATCATTTGCTTGATTAAATCAAGGATAAGAGCGAGATGATTACCGTTATTTCCATCGGACCATGGGTAGAAGCTGTAAGCATCATCATCGGAGAAGCTACCGTAATGCGATGCCTTGACGGCGAATCGAGTCAAACGAGACGGCCCAGCTCGAGAAAAAAGCGAGAGTCGAGAAGAAGTAGCGACGGAGGGAGGCGAAGAAGCGGTGTCCCAAACGCGAGAGATGGTGAGGTGAGAGAAGAGAAGCGCACAAGTCTCCGCCATAACCAGAGAATCACAGAAAAAAAAACAGAGCAGACGCTTGAGGAGGTGGGAAGAGAAAGGAAGAGGGAGAGAGCGAGTCTACGCCACATGCTTTTTAAGCCGATGCCGCCACGTGTCGAGTGTCTGAATTTGTCTTGGGAAAATTGACATAAGAATCCTCGTGCTTTCAATTATTTGTAAATCTACCCCTAATAAGTTGCCAAAAGTGTTAGAATACCGAATTCAACTCATGAGAAACACTCTCCCCCACACACTCTAAGTCTAACCTTTTAGATACGTGATAGACTTTTTATGGGGTTGATCATGCACATGATCGACTTTTCAGCAACAAATACAACTCTTTTTAGTCATTTATACGTTTACATATCAAATTATCTTTCATATATAATTTTACATATCAAATTTGATCTTAGATAGAGTTTTGTTTAAGGTTAAAAATCAACACATTTAAACGCTCTGTGTTTTTTATCCAATCCACAATCCATGAGACATCACAAAACTCTGTTAAGGAAATGGAGAAAATGGGTACTACTTTGATAATCTCAAACTTGATGAACTATGTTGCAAGAGCCATAAACAAAACAAAATGCATCCTTTTACCCAACCAAGCACAAGAAGTCACATAACTCTCTCTCTACATACAATCTGTGTAACTAAAGCCATTCCATTATTTTCCTTCAGGTTTAGCGTGTCCATCTTATGAACAGATACAATATGACAATTGTTGCGATCATACCGGCGTATTTGATCCATGTGTCAACACGGTTTCGCCTCTCGATGAGCCTCAGCACAGAGTTGGAGAGCCCTACGGTGTTCAGAACATCCAAAGCTTTACGTTGTGCCCTCTGTGAATTTCAAACGTTAATGGCATTCAAAATGTGACTTTTTGCAATGCAGATTCAAGGTTTCGGTTAGAGTTTTTTACCTTTAAGCGATCCCTTTGTTCAGCATATTTGGAGAGGATAGCAACTCCACTTGAATATGAATCTTCTAGCAATCTCTTTGAGTTCTTCACAGAGCTCATTGCTTGAGCCTCCTCATCAAATATCTGCAATATGTGAGCTCCCTCTCCGCTTCTTCTCCCTAACAAATCCGCTCTCTCTTTAGCTTCCAACATCCTTTTCTGATTCCTCCACATGTATTTTTCCAGACTTTGGTTCAGATACTCGGCCTCTTCTCCTACTTGTTCAGTCTTTCTGCCATTAAAGAACGCCCAAGTGATTGTGATGTCAACACAGAGCATAGAAGAATTGGAAGAAACTACTCTTAACGTGTAAACACTACTTCAAGAGATTCAGATGTTAAACCCAAAGAGAGAGTATGTTTTCAGAGATATCCGCCATTTTTAGTGATCTCAGATCACCATTGACGAATTCGTATATGTAAAGTGACGATTGACGAAGAACATATACGGTATTACCATTATCTTGGATGCTAGTTCAAGAAAAATCTACAGAACCGCTTAGTCCTGAATCTAAGATTCTCCGATGATTTTGATGTTTCGTGATTCAGCTCAGGACGAATTTCGATTTAAGAAGAATAGGTCAAAGAATCACCTTCTCCAGAGATCGCGCTGGGATTTAACAGAGATTGAGCGCCAGAGACTGTCCATGTTAGAGCAGAGAGATTGGACCTCAGTAATGTCTCGTTTCACGGAGGAGGACAGATCGGAAGAATCCATAGGAGCAGCGGACTCGAACCTCTCCAGCTTCTCGATTCCGTCGCGAGCCCTGAGTAGAATCCTTTTCGCACTGCTATATACCTCCGACAAGGATCCACCTCCTCCGACGATCCCAGACGCCATTACTCCACTCAAATCAGGTGACCCGCAGATATTTCTCGTCGCCGGAGCGATTGTCACTGAATCAGAGATACATACATACGTAGACATCGTTCGATACAATGAGCAAACAACAAACAAGTCTGGACATGAAAAGAGAGCGGATCTGAAATCGAAAGAGGGAACCTGAAGATCACCTGATCAGAAGATAGAAGACGAGAGACAGACGAAGAAGAAGATTCCTCCGTCTTGTGGCGCCGTCCTGGAATTGGCTCCCGGATTAACGCCAGCAAATTGATCGGAGATGTAAGAGTGATCGCACGGAGAAAAGGCCTTAGATGATGCTTTGTTAGGCTCAAATTCATATCCTTGTTGGGCCAAATTCACCTAATGAAGCCCATATTAGTTATCAAAAGCTGATATTTGCTTTTCAAGTTGGGCCAAGACGGGCCTATAGATTGATCTCTGTACTCATTTCTGTTAACCTCGGTGAGAGAGCTACGTAGATGATGTGGAATCCACAATGTTCACATTTCCCTTTTCTCTATAAAACAAAAAAAGGACTAAATTTTTCGTTCGTGTCTAAAAATATGTTTCTTTTTCTTTAGTGGAAGGTGAAGAATCCTATTAAAATGTGTACCAACAAGGGGACAAAGTGGAAGATAACTATACATACTATTCTATAAGCTGAAAAATAATTCTGGATAACTTTCGTGCATCATGCCGGTATATAAATATATACTAACCTAACATTCATATATAGGTTTTTATAAAATTACGTTCTTATTAATTGATGTAATTAATCCTGTAAATAACTCTATCATTTCAGTTTTCACTAAACGTAACACAGTCTAATTTAATATTTTAGAGTCATAGAGACATAAAAGAAAAAAAAAGAATCACCTAGGTATATTAATATTACCAACTCCTGTTGAAAGAAAACTTTGAAAACAAAGTCACATATATTTTTAGTGGACTCGTAAGACAATACGATACACACAAAAAAAAAACACATTGTAATAGCTAAAATTTCAAAGACTTGCGTTGAAAATGAAACCCCTAAAAAGGCCAATATGATTGAGTTATCTCTTTCCAAAATATATCGTGTACATGTGTTCCATAACTTATCTTCTTTCTCTCTTCTCCAAAAGAAAATGAAGCAATGTTAAAAAAAAAAAAAAAAAAAGAGACGTCACATATAGTGAATTTCATAGGAAGAAACATAAATCAGAGAACTGACATAGAAGAATTATTATTACCTTATTATTAAATTAAATTTTTACTATCTTGAAAACTAGTGGCCACAGGCACTACAACTCGGACCGGATACTAACTTACGACCCGACGACAAATCTTCCTTTAGTCCTTTGAGACTCTCTTCTTCACGTACATTACGTACTCATCACTCAAAAGCTTTTCCGCACAAACCAGAGTCTAATTTATCTGCTGCAACCGTGATAAGAGACCACTGCCATAGAATGCGTAAACCATCAAGCAAACACACAACTTTGAGAAGTTTCTTCATCTCCATGATAGCCTACAATGATTTGAGGGTGCTTTAGAGGAATTTTATATAGTTATATACAAAGTTCCATATTCCATATATATATTATATAGTTTTACGTTATATTTCTAAAAATTTAACAACAAATCATAATGATTTTACTGGTTTCACCAGAAATCATCAAAACTAATCATTTTAAATATTTGACTGAATGTACCCCCTTAGATGTTTTAATGATTCACGTGTACATTTTGTTTACATGAAACATAAGTGATAAACTTTAGAAATTTTAATGATTCTGTTTGTGTGATCAAGGAAGCTCAATATTCACTAGTTAGGTGCAAGGTTGTTTCATGAGAATAGTAAGATTGGAAATTGAGTGGTCCAAGATGTTTCATGTTATTGAGTGGACTTCCCCGTGAATCCTTTTTTTTTTAACTTTTTTTTTCCTTATTTATAATTTTTATATATATAATGATACTATCGCCAAAACTCATTACAATTAACTGTCTTTAATGTAGTTTCGACACAATTTCATATGTACACTTCTTCATCTTGTTCTGTAATAATCACAAAAACATTTATTACTAACTCTATGTAGTGACAGCAGTGTATATATATGAAATCGTTTTTGTCTACATAATGTTGACTACTTGATCATGTTTTCCATAATCTTCTGATGAATGCCAAATAATTTATAAAATATTCAAAAAAAGGCCAAATGATTTTAGAAGTTTGGATAAAAATAATATTTGGTCTTTCTTTTCTTTAAATAAAACCAAAGAGTTCGAATATATAACACCAAAGATATGTGTTTCTTTTTATTTTATTTTCAACAAAGTTACAACAGCTTCAAAATGAATAAAAGTGTAATATACTTACATTGAAAACCTAAGCTGTCTTTGATTTTTGTTCATTGTTATCTTTCCTATGACTTATCACAAAAACTCCCCGCCCTACCACATTTCACAATCACAAAAGTCATGTTCACATGCATGTGCATATCGATATCTCACATACAGTCAATGATAACGATATTTGTTATACATCAGGCTTTCTTTTTCTCACAAATCCAGGTACGTAGAAAAATATATATACTCTTCAAAATTAGTTGAGTTCAAAACTAGTTACATTTGCTTATATATATAGTATACTATTATATACAATGCAGCTTCGACCATGTACAAGTAAAACTCATATCGCGCAGACCTATCTAGATATTTGTACACAGATCTGAAATTTTTTTAAAGGACATGTAAATTACATTTTGGTTATGTTTAACTGAAATTATATATAAAAAAACTCAATGCTGATAGTGGATGTATGAGATTTAAAACAACTATATGAATTATGTACATGCAGTTACAAAAATCAAATAAATTGGTTATAGACTTCTAGGTAAGTAATTTTTCTCCATTGAACGGAGAGAATTAGAAATCATCTTATCAATGTTAATAACTAATATAAGTCTTTGAAATAGTTCGTCCAATCAATCAGTAAAGGAAACATGATCACATAGGGACATATGTATACTTAATTATGTCTTCACCAAAGACAATAAGGTCGTTTCATATACTTTCTAGTTATTAGCTAGATGTCACAGAGACGTATGGACCCTTGAAAGTTGAAACTCTAGCTACTACCATATTGCATTATATATAAATAATACTAATAGATTAGAGTAAAAAGTACAATAATGATAGATTGATAGATTAAAGTACACAATGATAGCATAGAACAGAAGGTGGAGAAGGGATATATAGTATGATAACGAAGGGAGGATTAGGGCACACGTGAAGTGCACATGTTGTCCATTTGCCAAAGGGCCAACCTTTGTTTCTATATCTCACCCAATTCGTTTTCATTGTCTCTATTCCATTGCTACGTGATTGGCATTCCATTATCAATTTTCTTTGGAATTTTTTCTCATATGATATATATTAAACCGAGATTTTTGGGACGAGCTACTCTCGCTAATCAAAGGCTAATCAAATGTCTACAAGATGTTAATTTAGTATGTAAACCGATCACAGGGAACAAGTTTATTATACTAATTAACTTTTTATTTTAACAGCTTGGCACTAAACTCAATCTCTTCAGGGGGGGATTATTAACTTGTCGCATACAATGGGAAGATCAATCCAACAAGTCCGAACCAGCTGTATCATTAACAGGATTAGTAAAATTAAGTTGTGAACGAGTCTTCAAGTTATTCCCAAATGATGATTAATAAAAAATTTAAGTATAAATTTCTTACTATATGCTGAAAACATATAAAAGTGTGGGGTGTATTTTGGCAATAAAGATACTTTGTGTTAATTGGTTGAGTGGTCTAATAAATGGATAAAATCATAAAAGCATCAGAAAACAAACAAAAAATGCCATCTCATGACCGTACATCCATACAATTAGGGATTTAACATGCACACAGAAACTTTCACAAAAGAAGAAAAATATCTAATCATTGATTGGAAAGACAGTTCACTCGAAATAAAGTCTCAGTTATCTGTAGAGAGATTATGAACATATATACATCGAGCAAGCTAAACCTTAGAAAAAAAATGAATAACAAAATAATACTCTAAAATTAATTATATATATATATATATATATTTATTAAGGTTGATTAGAATTTCTTTTCTAATTTTTGGAACACATAAGTTATGTGTCTATGTCATTTCTTAATAATTTATGATATTTGTAGAAATTTAGATGATAATGATTGTCTTCTTCAGAATAAAACAATTTCCAGGTTTGTCAGTTAATAGATTACCATGATATGGGTAATTAACGGCCAATGTAACATGTCACTTGATAGTTGGTTTTAGTATACTAATATTATAACAGCTGTACAGATGCAACCGTAACATTCTGACATTATTTATCCGTGGTGTACGAGATACTATACTACCATCTGTTTAGAGGAGATCACATACTAATTTATTCTGAACCTAGGAGAGATATCGGAGAAATAGAAATAAAACATAGAAGAAAAGGTATTCGATCGGCATCAAGCAACTAAAGCAAGTGGTGACACATATGAACAAACCAAACACAGATGAATTTAGAACTAACATGCTCACACATGCACCCGAGTATGCAAGTTCTATATATTTAATGAAAATGTATTATATTGGTCTATTGCAAAAAAAAAAAGTAATATATTGGTCTCAGTAAAAATAAGTTAGATTATTTAACTTGATATATAAATTGTATACAAAAGTCACAATTAATAGTTGGTTCTATTTGCATCATATTAAATATTTTTCAGTAACCTCAATTTTACTAATCTAACAATATTTTGTATTCTCTTAAAATGCAAATTTTATATCTGGTGTAAAAACACTCAACCTTATCATTTGAAAAAAAAAATAAGTTATAGAGTGAGATATTTTATATCTAATGTCATAACATTCACAACTTTCTCTAATTTCTAATCATTCACGTTTTAAATACGCAGAAGCCAATACTTTATTGTTTGAAGTTTTATACTACTATTAAGTTTCTATTGTATTATTTACTAAAAAAAATATTTTCAAGAATCTGAACTTTACTTATAATCAGTATCGCAATACAGCTATTAAAGGAACTATCTCATAATTCTTTTAAAAGAAGTACGAACCTGA